GCCTGGCGTTTCCCTTGGCACTCCCGGGCTGACCCTTTTGCTTCCCGCGGGCTTTACTTACAAGTGCTTCTGAGTGCTGCTTTCCTGACCACTTCACCTCCATGTGTCCTGCCTCAGCACCCCATTTCCTTCCTTCCTGCTTTGTTTTCTGTTTAACACTTAATTTATTGTCTGATGCACTGAATATTTTCTTAATCTTGTTAACTTTTGTTTCTGGCACTGGGCAGGGAGTTCACTGCGGAATGTTTAACAGTTTTTAATTAACTAAATATTTTTCATTAAATTGAATTGAGTTAAAGAAAACATTTCACGTTTGAATTCCAAATGCTGGTAAAGAGGCCCGTGGTTGGAAGCTTTGCTGTTTTGCATAGATAGTCATAATGCTTTAAACTACAAAAAATATTTCAGAAATTCCATTTCATAGTGTGTGCTCATTAAAAATCAGGATAATTTGGGTGATTTAAATTTTAAAGTTAAATATTTCAAAGTCATTTATAAGGATTTTGCAAAAAAAATTGTACAAGTGTTGTACATGACTTCCTATTTACTTCTGTGTTTTAATTTAGTGATTTTAAAGGTTATCCTTTTTTTCTGTGTAAATGTACATTTCCCCCCTTTTTTCAGTGTCCTCTCTGATCGGAGCTGTTTAAGAGTTACAGCTGGTCCCACTTCCGTGGATCTTGATGTGAATGTCCAGAGGACCCTAGATAACAACTTAGCAACTGAAGCTTATGAAAGAAGAATTAAGCGACTTGAACAGGAGAAACATGAACTTAGTAGAAAGCTTCAAGGTAAATGTATATTAAAGATAATATCTCCTTTTTTCTTTTTTGAATTATACACAGGGATTGATACTACTTGTTTAATATATGTAGCTTTATCTTGAAGAGAAATTTTTTTAAGTGAAGAAAAATCAAGTTATCGAAATTTCTGCCGAATACATTGTAATACCATCTGTGTAAAACCATGAAATCAATAGCAAAATAGCATTTATTTCCAATAGATAACCTATCTACTATGTCTGTCACTGTGCAGGAATAAATACCCCTGAGGGAATGAAAATGGTGTTATGAAGAACAGTTATCATGCCATTGTATTTGGGGCCTCATTTTCAAATGATTTTTTTAAGTTGAGGTTGTAAATATTGTTTACAACACTGTACATGATTCAGAGGTATAATATCTCTCCAGATAAATGTTGCCACACCAGACCATGCAGTAATTGTCTTAGCCCCTGTGACCTGTTTCACATGGCATCACCCCTCCCGTTCTTCATGTCAACAGCAGGAGGTCAACTTTTTTAAAAATAGCTGCTTAGCGATCTGCTGTGAACACAGCTTACTGTACTCTACTGTACTCATCATCTGTCCTTGGGCATGTAGGTTCTTTCCATAGCTTGCTACTGTGAGTAGTGCTTCAGTGAGCGTAGGAGTGCATTCAAATGAGAATTTTTGCATTCATAGGGAAGATACCTAATAGTGAAGTTGCTGGATCCTATCATAGATCTATTTTTACCATTTTGAGAAATCTTCCTATTGTTTTACATAGGGACTGGGCCAGTCTACATTCCCACCAAAGGTGTATAAAAGTTCCCCTTTCTCCACATCCTCTCCAATACTTGTTTCTTGACTTTTTGAGACGATCATTCTCACAGGTGTGAGTTGTTACCTCATTGTGGTTTTAATTTGCATTACCCTGTTGACTACTGATGATGATTACTGAGCAGCTTTTCATGTGTCTGTTGGCTGTGTTATGTCTGCTTTGGAGGCGTTTTTAGTTAGCTTTTCTGCCCATTTTTAAAATTGTTTTTGTTGCTGTCTGATCTCAGATTTTCACACTTTGTCAGAGATATGATTTGCAAAAACTTACTCCCAGTAAGAAGATTATCTTTTCATTTTAATGGTAGTTTCTTTCATTTAATGGTAGTTTGGAGCTTCTCTGTTTCCTTTGCCATTGGAGTTGAGTCCCCAAAGATATCCCCATTGCCAGTGTTGTGGAGTGGTTGCTTTCTTTTGTGTATTTAATAGTTTCAGGTCTTACATCCCAGTTTCAGTCCATTTTTGGATTAATTCTTTGTAGATAGTCTGTCATAAGGGCCTGGTTTTATTCTTGTGCATGGGCTGTCCAGTTTTCCCAACACCACTTGTTGAAGGAACATTCCTTTCTCCAGTTTACTCTTGAATCCTTTGTCTATATTCACTGTCCATGTCCATTTGTATGCTGTCAGTTTAAATGCATTGGTTTGTGTTCTGTTTTTATTCACTTACACTGTTTTGATTACTATAGCTTTGGTTTTCCTTTTTTTTTTTTATTCCTTCTGTCAGTAGTGCTTTGGTTACTCATTCTTTTGTAACTCCATATAAGTTTCAGTAATGGTTGTTCTATCTCTCTGAAGAATGCCATTGAAACTTTGAGAGGAATTTCACTGAATCTGTATATTGCTTTGGGTAAGGTGGTCATTTTAACTATGTTAATTCTTCTAATCCATGAAAGCAAAAAATAATTTTCTATTTCTTTGTGTCTTATATTTCTTTTAATAGTATCTTGCAGTTTTCACTGTATAGTCACTGTATAGGTCTTTTTTTTTTTTTTTTAAAGATTTATTTATTTGTGCATACAGAATTGGGGTACAGGCCAGAGGCTCAGGGGTGGTGAGAGGCTTCACAAGAGACAGAGTGGGGAACAGAACAGGCAGATCGATGAAGTCCACTGCTGAGAGGAGCAGCGGGCGGGTCAGGAGAGGTCTGCCGCACCCATGGGTCCTTTTTTAAAGTTTACTCTTAGGTCTTTATTTATTATTATTATTTTTTGCAGTTATAAATGAGATTGTTTTCTTTCTCTTCCAGTTTGTTATTTGCATATGGTATCATAATTGATTTTTGTAAATTGTTACTGTACTGATTCATTGTTTCTAATTTTTTCCCCCATGAAGTCTGTCTGGTTTGCAGTATATATTATTATGCCCTCTTAAAATGATAGTTAACTTCTTTCCTAATATGAGTGCCTTTTAAATATTTCCCTTATTAGGTTTTAGTTAGGTCTTGCAATTCTATGTTAAATAGTTGCCTTATTAAAATGTGCAGGATGAAAAAGACTTCTCAGCATCTAAATGGGTTGAGACAGTGAGAAGTCTAGGGGACTATACCAGTCGAGTCACCTAAAGGAGGGAGAGCCAGCGTGCCGTGCACCTCCAAGGACAGTCTTGTTTTTACTTAGAGCCAAGCAGGAGATATCAAAAAAATTAAAAAGCAAGTAGGTAAACGGGGAATGTGGAAGTGTGTGGGGGACATGAAACTACCTGGTACCAGCCATGGCTTGGAATTCAGGGAGAGAGTCAGGGGAAGCCTCAGTGTTTCTGCCAGTCTGAGCACAACATCTGTTGCTGTTTTCTTCTCCTGCTTTTTCCAGCATGTTTAGATCCTCATACCTGGACTTTGCCTTGAGAGGGTCCTTATCTCAAACTTTCCCTGTTTGTACTCTGTGTGAAAGGCACAGAAAAGTCAAGGCAAAGACACAAAGAATAATCCAGGTTTCCCCAAATGGGAGTGTGAAAGTGGACATTCTTGTATTGCAGCCTGATTTAGAGGAAGTTTTCAGCTTTTCACCACTGAGTATGATGGTAGTTGTTATGTGGCCTTTGTTTTGGAAAGGTATCTTTCATCTGTTCCATTTTGTAGGGGTTTTTATTATAAATGGGTGCTGAAACTTACGCCTTTTCTCCATCTATTGATGTCATTTGATTTTTTATCTTTTATTGAGGTGGTATATTACATTCAGCAATTTTCGGAGCAGTGTGTTGCTTATTCTCCACGCACTAGAGGTTTTTTTTCCCTTTCTTTCAGTTGTAGGTTTCTCCTTTGACCACCACTATGATGATCAGAGAAGATGCTTGATATGATTTACATATTCATGAATTTGTCGATATTTGTTTTGTGACCTAACGTGTTCTATCCCAGCCATGTCCCCTATGAACTTGAGAAGAATGTGTACCCAGCTTTGGAGGGGACACGGTGCCTTATAAGTGTCTGTAAACCCATCTAATCTAGTCCTGTTCAGGCTCCTTGTGTCTCTGTTGCCACTCTGGGCACTGAGGATATGCAGGACTGTGTGGTTACCAGTGTCGGTTTCAGATTGATAATACTAGTCTTAGATATTTTGGTGCTTATTTATTTGTTGTATATGTATTGGTGATTGTTATGTCTTCTTGATGTATTGATCCATTCATCATTATATAATATCCATCTTTTTCTCTTGTTATCTTTCTAGCTGGAAATCTGTTTTATCTGATATAAGATGACTGACTGTGCCTTTCATGGGGTCCTATTTTCTTGTAGGATTATTTTCCCCAGCATTTACTTTGAGTCTGTATTTATCTTTGGAACTCAGATTAGTCTCCTGGAGACAGCGGAAAGTTGGGGTGCTTTCCTTCTTTCTCAGACTAGAGGAAATGTGAAAATAGCGCAGGGTCTGCCCTGTCCTTTCCACTGGGAACCTGGTCCCAGAGGAACTTCCCAGCCCCTCCACGCATATTTTCCATCAGTTATCAGTGTTTGCCTCTAAACTGTTTGGCTCTCCCTTCGCCAGGGCGACTGGCGATGGGCTGGCCACATGCCAATGCTGCAGTTCGCAGTGCCGCCTCCTGCCCCGACAGCCACCCACACAGCCTCCGGGCGTCTCCTTCCACCAGGGCGCTCTCTCTGTGCAGTCTGTTGGCTAACTGGCCTACTGGGCAGCAGCGCATAGTACCTGCTCGGATACCACGTGGGATCCAAACCCTTATGGGACTGACGACTTGGATATGCTCATATTTCTTCTTTCCTTGCATGTTGTATTTCCTATCACACTTTCGTTCTGTAGATCATTCCTGTTGTAATAATTGGTAAATTTCAAATGCATATATAGGTGAACCTCTTTAAATTCTGACTTCTTCACTTTCAGTCATGGTCCCCTCTATCCTACTTCAGCTTCTCTTACCAATGATGATAAGATTGATCTAAAGGCTACAGTATGTAAAATTCTTTGCTAGTCTCAATTCTAGGTGAACCTTCCATAATTTCCTGCTCCTCATCTTCTAGTTACCTTCCTCTGGTGCCGTAACTCTACTATTCCCTGAGTTCCACCATGAACTGCAGTTTTATCGCAGTCACTATTCCTCTTTTATTCTCCGTTTTCATTCTGTGACCAGCCGTCATAATGCCTGTACATATGCCATCGGATCTGTTGTTCTTCTTACTGCTTGTCAAATTCTTTTGACAGAACCCCAGCCCTGTTTAAATGGAACATTATCTCTGTAACTGTGCTGAAACATGCAACATGTTTGCTAATTTCTTCTTAACTCTGTCTTAGGAGTGTCAGGGTTCCTCAGAGTATGCCATGGTTTTTGGTGCTCACCACGAAAACGTTATACAAGCATACATCACAACCTAATACCACGCAGATTCAATTCCTTACCAGTGCAGTGAATACCAGATTTTTTTTTTTTTTAGAGATTTTTATACTATCCTGTAGTCTACTAAGTATAAAATAGCATTATGTGTTTTTCTTTTTTAAGTAGTGTCTATTTCTTATTTAAATGGTTCAAGTTCTTTCTCCCTCACTCTGTAAACTGTTGAAAATTTATTCAGCCCTTCCTCCTCCTCCTACCTATCTACTTCCAAATTTGGCAGATGTCTTGATATAGAGACTTACCATGTGTTTGAGACTTGCCCTCTTTTTCAATGTGACTTTGTTTCCTAATTATCCAGTACTGTAGGAGATTTCATTCTCCTTTTAGAGGCTTCTTAACTTCTCATACAGTCCCCAGATATACAACAAGTACTCCATGAAGAAAACATACCACACAATTAAAGGTGCTGAGATTCCAAATTGTTGTACCAATCCTCACCTTTTCTGAGAAGCTTTGATGCTTTTTCTTTACAGTGTAACGTTTCTTAATTCAGGCCAACCAAAACTGCCTCCCAGAATTGGATGAGGTTCTCAGGAAAAAGGCATTTGTGCTAGCCTTTTCACCTCAGAATGGCTCTTTCTTTCCTGGTTTATTGTAATAAGTCCTCTTTGTTCCCCTCAGTCCATGATATTTGTGAAAATGACTTTTGCAAACCATACAGTGTGTGTTTACCTTTTGTAGCAGGAGAAATGATCTGTTAATAATATTCCTAGCTTCTCCTATTCTGAATGAGAAATTCTGAATGAGAAATCCAAATCTTTTTTTAATACTTTGTTTTCTTCAATATGTCCTTAGATAATATAATAAAAGTGACTGCTATCACTTACACAAAACAACGGTTTTGGCACTGACTTTTGGCATTAATACCTATTTCATACACAGCATAGTTAACATTTAAGTTTTTCTTCATTATTATTTATGCCTGGAAATAAACCCCAGTAGAGCTGATGCTTTAATAACTGTAAGATAAATTTATCATCTCTCTTAACTGAATTAAGGAGCAAAAATCAGCTATAGATGGACTCAAGTTTTCATACATGTAATTTGAAAGGCCAGCACTTTACGTATTTGTATTAACATTTCTAAAACTCCATGTATCAATTTCAGTTGATTTCACCTGTCATCCGACGTGACCTTTTTGGTTATAACATGATGACCATCTCTGCTGGTACAAAGGGAGCCAAATAGTTGACTCACTGAAGGCACTGGAAATCTCACATTTTGGACAGTAGACCCTATTCTGTATGTGTTATCATTGTAAGGACACAGGCAGTTGAGTTTCTTGCTTTAATTTTAGTGTGTTAACATTTTTATTCAATGGATGGATGATTTAGTCAGTAGACTTATGTAAGAATTCTCAAGAAAAGAATGTATTCTTGTCAGTGAAAAGAAATTTAGAAATGGCATTATTTCTCACTCTTCCTTTCATTCCGTTTTAAAAGAATCAACACAGACTGTCCAAGCTCTGCAGCATTCAACTGTCGATGGCCCACTGACAGCAAGCAAAGATTTAGAAATAAAGGGCTTAAAGGAAGAAATTGAGAAACTAAGGAAGCAAGTAAGAGGTAAAATTTCTGTGATTCACTGTTCATTGGATTGAATAGATTTTAAACTGTTGTATGCACACAGCGAACATTGACCACGTGTGTGTGTGTTGCGTGATGTGAGCTGTATGCCACTCGGGGACCAGCTATGACTGGGCCTCTTGCAGGGAGCTCATGGCTTGGTGCGGGGGTCACACAGTCCTCACAGCGCGTGCGAAGTGGCTACAAGGAGGACGCACGCGCGTGTGTGGGGGAGGCACAGACGGGCACGTAGTCCAGGTTGAGGCGGACACAGGTGACTCTTTGGAAAACCGTTTAGTTTGGCGTATTTGGTTGTGACTTGTCTGGTGAGGACTGTAGGTGAATTCAGGGTGGAGCGTTGAGAATGAGCAGGAAGGCGTGTGGGGAAGGGATTGCAGCTGTGCATGCAGCCGGTGGTGAGAATTGATGGTTTCTGTTTGTAGCAGTTCACTTTTCACTGTACTGTTGAGATTAATTAAGATTAATTTGGAGAACTGTTGATCTGCCCTTTGGATCTGTTCATTCGTTTATTCCACTCGTTCAGCAGATGTTTATTGAGCACTACTATGGGCCTGGTGGTTTAGGCTCTTGAGATTCAATACTAAAGAAAAGGACTGGATCCCTGTCTTTTGCCTAGCAAACAACAGACATAAAAAGAACAACTATATAACTTTGTAAGTGGCCCAGTAACTTAAGAGGTGTTAAGTGCTTAAAATGGAGCCTCATAAAGTGAAGGGTCGAAAGCGCAGTAGAAGGAGTTTTCCAGCTGTCAGTAGGTTGGTCTAGCTGTGAGCGTCACTGAGGTGATGCGGATGTTAACTGGAAGAAGGTAAGCGCCTCTGCCGTGGGGCTGTGTGGGGCCGCTTTCCAGACAGAACGCGCCTGTGAGTGCAGAGGAGACACAGCCTAGCACGCCTCCGTCAGGATGCGCACACAGGAAAGCAGGAGAGGAAGTGAAGACGTGTCAGGGGCACCACGGATGGTCAGGCGGTCAGTGTTCACTCTGAGTAAAATGAGAGCCTTTTTTCAGGGTTTAGAGGTGTCACATGATCTGCGTTCGTGATAGAAGGTACTGTTTTACTTGAGAGGGTTAGTCTTCTCCAAAAATTGCAGTTTTGGGCCAAAATAGAAGAAGGAAATGAAAACGTCTGCTGTAGAGTCATTCATAAATGTTAGTATCTTGCTTATTTTAAATGTGCTTGGGGTTGTTCTGTTTTGTTTATTTAGCTTTGATTAATTTTTTTCTTACAATGTTGTTAAGTTTTGGACTGTACTTGCTGCTCCCCTCAAGTGTAGGTCTTGTGCTTCTCTGCCATCACTTGTCTGGATTCCTGTCCCTCCCTGCAAGCTTCACATCGATGGTCAGCTTGCAGGCGTCTGGTTTTCCTGACCCTTTGTTCTTTTTCTCCGTATTCCAAATATAAGATAAACTATCCAATTTTAATCTTTTCTCTTATGACTTATTTAGCCTTACAAATTCTCTTCTTGCTCCATCCTTGTTACCACAGATAGCATGCGTTTAGCTTTTCTGATCGCTATGTAGAATTCCACTGTGTATATATATCGCATTTTCTTTATTCATTCATCTGTTTTGGGGCATTTAGGCTGTTTACATACCTTGGCTATTTTAAGCAGTGCTGCTATAAACACAGAAGTGCAGGCTTCCTTCAGAATTCTTCTTGTGATCTCTGGGTAGATTCCTAGGAGCGGAATTGCTGGATCATATGGCAGATCCAGCTTTAGTGTTTGGAGGAAACTCTCCACATCACTTTCCATCGTGGCTAGACCAGTTCACTTGAGCACCAGCAGGCTAATAAGGGCTCCTTTCACCATCCTCTCCAGCGTGTGTTGCTTCTAGTTTCTTATAATACTGTGTGCCTCTCTCACAGGCGTGCAGTCTGCCTCACGGTTTTGATTTGCATGTCTCTGATGAACGTTTCGCTGAACATCTCCTCATATGCCTATTGACCATTTGCATTGAGAAGTGTCTTTTCAGCTCTTGTGTCCAGTTTTTCATTGGGTTGATGCACTTGGAGTTTTAAATATTCCACATTTTAAGTGACTTTATTGCTAGGAAATCTCTATCAACAACATTCTGTAGCTTTATCGTTCTAAAAATAAATTAGTTCTGAATTCAATAAGTAGTGTTACTTGCTTTGGTATCAATGAGAAAAGATTATCAGGGTACCTCCTCGGTGGCACAGTGAGTCAGAGCACAGCACTGTGAAGCTATCCACAGCCACTGCAGCATGAGTTTGATTCCCAGTCAAGGAGTGACCCACAGGGTGCCGCTGACTTCTCCTGACCCGCCCGCTGCTCTACCTGTTCTGTTCCCCACTCTGACTCTGGTGAATCCTTTCACTGCCCCCACACCTCTGGCCTGTACCCCAGTTCTGTATGCATAAAGAAGTAAAACTTAAAAAATAAAAAAGATTGTTAGTGCCCCTGAGTCTGTCAGTTGTGCGCCACTGAAAACGTAGTGGGACACAAGGCTAGTGAGGGTTTCATGGGACACAAGGCCAGGAAGGGTGGCTAGAGATTTGTCTTCATAGAAAAGAATGTTGATTTGGAAAACTTGCTAAAACACCTGTTTTAGATTTACTTTTTATTACAGAAGTGAGTGGTGCTAAAAGCATCGTTGAGGATTCATAATCTTGTCTCATTCATAATTACATCCAAGCTATCTTAAAAATGCTCGAGAAAATAGTGCCCTCCCACCACCCTCCCCAGGTGTCTTACTGCTTCCAGGTTGGTGGTTTGTGCCTCCAGCCTGAAACTGCTTCCCCTGACATGGCCTCCTACAGCGTGTAAGTAAAGGAGCGACAGAGAGTGAAGGCGGCAATAATAGGGAACTTATCCCCCACATCAAGACTGCAAATAAATTCTCTGCCCTTCCAAAGAACTGTGGATTATTTCAGGAATGAGCGTATAATGGAACGCCCTCTGACTGAGCAGTGTTCCGCTTTGAATACTGCTTTAATCATGTCCTCTCCCTTTGCCCTTCTCTTAATTTCTATGGCACCCACAAAATCTGTCAGAGATTAGTATTTATTTTCTGCTTTATTTATGATTTAAAGACTATTTTGCGCCTTTCTTCCTAACTTTATTATCCTCTTCATGAAAGGAACCACATTTTTATGTTTCTCTTACATGCCATACAGTGCAAAGAAAACGATCCTCTTTTATTACGTCCTCATTAAATTCTCATTCCTAACAGATTGAATTTCAGAATTCTACTGGCAGCAGGGAGCTAAGAGCCTTTAGTTGGTGTATGCTGTCTTTACTAACTGCTTCCTCTTTGCTTTTAGTAACTTCATCTAAAAGTAGTTTTTAATAAGGTCATCGGCATGTGGTTGCTAATTGTGTTGCATGTGATAATTTTTAGAATCTTTAAGGATGTATTTCAAAGTGCTCATCACGTTTACTCTGTGCTATAGTGAAAGTAAAGGCTCCCTGCCCTAGCTATTTTATAGGTCAGTGATCTGGATTTTTCTATCAATAGGTTTGGGATTTACTTATTGGGAATGTAAAACCTTGTGTATTTAAAATTCTAAGTTCGGCACTTCTCTCCATGTTGAAGGATTTTCTCTTGACACATTTTCTCTGGTACATTTCTTTTTTTACAGTTCATAGTCCACAAGTTGTTTAAATGAATATTTTGAAGCTTTTTAGCATTTTGAAAGTTTCAAAAATTTGAGGGTTGGAATATCTGACATATTTTTCTACTTAACAACTTCATTAGAGAGTAACCAAACTAAAATCACTAGGATAATACTTAAACAAAAGAGAAACCTCCATAAAGGCTGTTGAAGCTACGCATGCAGTACATTCACTGAACTTCATGATGCTTAGATTTTATGAAATACTGATTTCATTCCCCCCAAAAGCAGTTGATGACTTGATAATTTGCATTAAAAAAACAAACATACTGGGGAAGAACTCTTAAAAGCCCAAGACAGTGAATGAGCTTTCCCATGGTCAGGAGTGACCATATTACTGCCTTAGGCCAGTATACCTTAACCATAAAATTGTATTCTAAAGTTGCCCACACACCGGAGTCAGCCATAGCACACATCACTCTTGAGTCCTGAGTAACTAAACTAGGAATAAACTGAATTGATATGTATCTACTTTAGAAATTGTTGAAGTCTTTAAAATATTAAAATCTCTAACAACATAAAAATGTCATTTAAAAATGTTGGAAAATATATTAGCACAAATGGAAAAATTCCCAAAGGAAATGCTGGAATTTGAAAAAACAATAAAACAATTTTCAGAATATAAGATGAAATATTCTGTGATCTTTAAGATTAAGCGTCTTAGGATCTTTAGCTTTCTTCAAATAAACACTTTAAAATTACACTGTTCATAAAATGGCAACCAGTTAAATGGGATTTTGCAGATATCTTCAAAAATTATTAAAACTATGCTGTCTGTATTGTATCTAGACTTTTCAAACTAGCTGAGAGAAAGAAACCATTATAAATCTATAGGGTTAGGGTGTTGAATTATCAGTAAATTACCTTAGCTATCTGGAAAGAGTTGGTGCATGGTACACTTCAGCTATTAAGTATTTAAGTATCATTCACTTAAGAAAAACGCTCTTCTCAACAGGACTGACATGTTATGTTTGTGGAGTTCGTTTTGGAGAGGACCAGAGTCAACAATGTGCGGAATCGTGTGCAGGAGCTCCCACACTTGAGTTCTTGAATGAATCCCTTGCAGATCCGTTAGCGTATAGATTCTGACTCATTAGATCCGGGCTAGGACCTGATACTCTGCATCTGGTGCAAGAACCCAGAAAATGCTAAAGATACTTGTCAGGGAATATACTCAGAGTGAAGCTGTTGTAAAGCAAGAAACTATCATTTCTTTAATATGCTAATCGACTTCTGCTATCAGGGATATTATCAATTTATTACATTTTATTTAAGCACATGTTAAAACGATGCATTTTGTTTCATGATAACTTTCCGAACGGATGATGTCAGACATTATCTAACAGCATTGTCTTCTGTGTTGAAGAGGTTGATGCCAGTCTGGCTCTGGGCCTCCGCCAGCAGTGCCCACAGACCATCTCGGAGCTACCTAGCCAGTAGCCGGTACTCAGAGGCTTGGCTGCAAGGGAAAACTCGCCTTTTTGTTTGGCTGGTTTCATTCATGTAAAATGAGTTTGAGGAGCTTAGTTGGTCTGAACATGCTGCTTTTGAAAGTACGGTCTTTTTTTTCCTGATAGTTCTCTAAGGAAGTATTTCTTTTAAAATATTTTTGTCATCTTAAACCTTGATTTCAAGCATTTGTTTTTCTACAAATAATAAAAGAAACATGATCTTCTCTCTTTAGAATCAAGTCTCTTGGAACAGCAACTTGAAGAAGCTAATTCTGTGAGGCGAGAACTAGATGATGCTTTTAGACAAATCAAGGCTTATGAAAAGCAAATCAAAACATTACAACAAGAAAGGGAAGATCTAAATAAGGTAAAAATAGATGGCTAGTTCATGTATTCCTTTCCTGAATTCTCAATTTTCTTTAATTTGTATACAGAAAAACTTGGCTCATAAACTTAAGAATCATTTTGGTGTATGTATGTCATTTGATTAATATCAATTAATGAAAAAAATGCCCTTTAAAGTTCATAATCTTCATTCTTTTAATTAATAAAAGACTTGATTAAAAGTGAATGTTACTGAAAAAGAAATAATAGAACCCTTTAGCATTGATGGGAAAATAAAAAATATAGGTATCGTGACCTTTTCATGTGAATAGTCTTAAGATTATAAAAAAAATTAATCCTTTAATGATTTTTAAATGTCAATTTATCTTTCAAAGTATGAATGAACAAGCAAAGACTTTGTAAAGAGCTTTTTATAATACTTCCATGGTGTTATACAAATCAGAAATTAATGGTTTATGGCGTAGTGTAAATTCAATGATGTGGTATATAATGCACGAATAAAACAGATGAAGTCCTTTTGGGGAATATTGATAAGTCTCACTGCCAAAAATGAAGTAGACACAGAAATAAAATTAATGACCTGTTGAGGAGGCTAATCAAGAGGGTTAGCATAGAAAACTGTAAGGGTAAAATTCAGCCGGACCAGTGTATTTTTACCTTTCGGTTAGTGTAATTGCCAGCAATAGAGTATGTATATTAGTAATATTATGTATTTAGTGACAGAATCATGCAAGTAAGCTTAACATAATAGGGATGAGAATCCGATATCTAGATTTATAGTAACATATTTTACAAGTTTTAAAATTAGAAATGTATTTAGATTTTGAGAGCAGGATAATAGTGAAAAGAGATCGCACTGCTCAAGAATTTTAAGTGACTTGCTTAATATCCCATTTATAGCAAATTCTAAAACATTTTTTCACTTGATGCATATATAAATATTGATATATATGTGCATATATAAAAACAAATGTAAGTTATGAAAACAGCACAATGAGCAGCTCGAACTTACCATCCAGCTCGAGAAGTAGAACAGCTCCCTGCTCTGTGGCACAGCTCTGAGGACTCCACTCCCAGCCCTGTCTTCTCTTCCCTGCCTTCTGCGGGGTGTGGCACACCTCGAAGAGGTGGGGTCCACATTGCTGAATCATATAGTATTGTAAAGCAATGTTTCCGTAAGAAAGTCATGAGATATAAATACAAGTCAGACATCACCAAGTAGTGCATTTAGCGTTGTTTGGTTTTCAGCCGTGTAAAATGCAGAGCTTTTGGCAATTTGCTTTTTTCATTCAAACTTACATTTCTAAGATTCACACATGTAGCTAGAGATCATTCATTCAGTTACTGTGAAACACCATTATGTCAACACTACATGGTTTATCCAAATTTGTGTTTACACAATTTAGATTGTTTATTATTGACAGCTGCCGTGCACGTTCCCGCTGTGCCCACTCTTGTGCGTTACCCTAGTACACACACAAACACACAAACATGAGCACAATTACTGGCAGAGGCCGTGTAAGTGTTCTGCTCTTCATGATAATGCCAAATTGATTTTCACTGACTGCACCGTTTTATGCACACACTCGTAATATATACAAGTTGTTATATTCAGCACTACTTCGTGTTATCAAATGTTTGACCAGTCTATTCTAAATTGCTGTTTTACGTCTTAAACGATATTTTATTGTAGTTGTACTTTACACATTACATTTACCAATGAGGTTGACTTTATTCAAATTTTTTTCTGCTTGAAAAAACTCTCCATATCCTTTATATATTTGTCTTTTTCCTCTTTGTAAATATTCTTGGAACTTGTTAGGCATACTTCTTTTATCACTGCTTGATACAGATACCATCTCCCAGTATACATTTTCTTTATCCATTCATTTTTTAAAAGTTGAGGTAACTTTGGTTTACAATACTACGCATGATTAAGAGGTGGGGGTGCCTTTCAGACATCTGTCACATGTCATACCGACACCCAGGCTTTTGTAGTCCCCAGCGGGGGACCGCTGGTCCCTCCACATCTTGCTCTCCGCCTCCCTGTCTGGCAGCTTCATTGTGTGCTCAGACGTTAGGGTTTTTATTGGCTTGCTTCTGCCTGATCCTCTCCCCCTCTGTTTCCCTGTATTCTGCATATAAGTGAAACCATGTATTTGTTTTTCTCAGCCTGGCTTCTTAGCATTGCCCCCTCCAGTTTCACCCATGTCACAAATTACAAGAGAGTATCTTTATCACCAAGTAGCATTCCATGTGTGTATCTGTCACACCTTAGTCTATGCATCTAATGGCACTTGGGTTGTTTCCATAACTTAGCTGTACTAAATACTGCTGCAGTGACCATGAGAGTGCAGCTATACTTTCAGAGTACTGTTTTTGCATTCTTTGGGTATATATCTAGGAGAGGGATTGCTGTATTGTATGGTTGTAGATCTATTTTTAATATTGTGAGAAACCTCCTTATTATTTTCCATTGGAGTTGGACCATTCTAGAGTCCAAGTGGTAACTTTTCCACACCCTCACAACTCTTGTAGTTTCTATACTTTTTGATGCGGCCATTCTCACAGGTTTGAGATGGTATCTCATTGTGATTTTGATTTGATTTCCTAGATGATAAATGGTGATGAGCACAGTTTCACATGCCTGTTGGCCAACTGTATGTCTTTTTTAAAGAAATGTCCGTTTAAATCGTCTACCCATTTTCGATTGGATTATTTGGTGTTTTGATTGTTGAATTGTAGGTCTTGGGTATTAGCCTCTGGTTAGATTTGTGATGTGCACATTTCTCCCACTCAGTAGGTATCTTTTTGTTTTAATGATAGCTTCTTTAGCAGAAGTTCTTTAACGTGGTGTCATTCCATTAGTTTATATTCTCTTTTATTTCTCTTGCCATTGGAGTCTGTTTCCCAAAATCATTACTAAAGCCAAGCTTGTGGAGTGTTCTGCCTATGTTTTCTTCTAGGTATTTTATGGCTTCATGACTTGCATCCAAGTGTGTAATCCATTTTGAGTAATTTTTTGTATACTTGGTAAGATAGTAGGCTAATTTTCTTTCTCTTGCAGGTGGCTGTTCAGTTTTCTCAACAGCACTTATTGCCTTTTACCAGTGTATACGCTTGGCTTCTTTGTCATAGATTAACTGTCCATTTTAAGTGTGGATTTATTTCTAAGTTCTCAGTTCTATCCCATTGGTACATAAGTGTAATTTTTTCCAATACCATACTGCTTTGATTACTATAGTTTTATAGTATAATTTGAAGTTGGGTGTGTGATACCACCATTATGTTACTATTTTTTGTCAGGATTGCTTTATTTAGGCTCTTCATATGAATTTCAGTTTCTGGCATCTATTAACAAAAGTATTTAGATTTAATGTAGACAAATTTATCAGTCTTCATTTTTATACTTAGTGCATTTCCTGTCTTACGAAAGAAATTTGGGGTAGAAAGTCTCCTAGATTTTTATCTTGAAGCTTTTAAGTTTGACCTTTAATATTTCAAGTTTTAATGCACCAGAAGTGAATTGTTTCTATCATGTGAGATAAGGGTACAATTTTCACTTTTTCTGTAAGTTGTTCATTTACTAAATAACCCCTCCTTCTCCCCGTGCTGTGCAGTATCACTTCTGTTATATGTTAAATTTCCATATTTCATGTATTTTTATCTCAACTCTTACAAACTTGATGGGATTTGGATTAAACTTGCATTATTTATAAAGCCATTTGAGAAGAATTCTAATATTGAGTCTAGGTTTCTTACAGTCTATTTTATTATTATGCTGATTGTACACATAGACTCCTTAACTGTGGGACAACACAGTGAAGGCTGGTTGTATAAAATCCTACCCCTGGAGACTGTTGTAGATCAGGACTCTCCCCCGCCTTCCCTCTTCCCCCCACTCTAAATGAATCAAGGTGTTTATGAAGAGGAGAGAAAGGCCTATGTTTCCTGTTTTTTCCCATTCCCACCCTCTTTCTATGAGTCTATTTGGAAACCTGAAGAGATGGATCTGGGACTCCTTGGAATATAAGTAAATCATTCCAGTAAAAAGAAAAGCCCAGATTTTCCTGTGCTAAAAAGAGATGCCTCCCAAGTCCAGGCACTGACCTCAGGCCCAGCCCATCTTTGAAATGTAAACATCTAGATTAAATGTCTTGGGAGTCATCTTACTACCTAGCTTAGTAATAACGTGACAGGGTTTGCTTTTGGCCTTGGTTCCAAGTTACAGTAAATTTCTTTAAAAGGTCCTAACTACAAAACAGATTTTCTTCACGGTCATATAGCCACATACCTGGTAAATTACATGTCTTTAAAGTCTTTCAAAATGTCCTTACATAAAATTTTATACTGGTCTTACTTGGCTTTCCTTAAACTCACTATTCTATTTTTCATGTTTTAAATGGTATCTGAAGGATACTAACACCTGCTTTGTTTTAGTAAAATTTCTCAAATTCTTACTAATGTTTACATGTTTGCAATTCTTTCAGGTTTTCTTTAAATAATAACCATTTCTGCAAGTTTCAATTTTTGTGACTTTTCTTTACCATTTAGTAAGGACTTCCATTGCAATGTTGGACGAAAGTGGTGACAGCAGACATTTCTATCTTACTCCTCATATTATAGAAAATACCTTTAATATTTCACCATTAATTTTTTCTGTTTTTGGTAAATACTTTATCAGCTTAAGGAAATTAATGTTCTGTTCTTATTTCGCTAATTTTTTTTTTTATGAAGAATGGGTATTAAATTTAGTAAATGTGTTTTCTGCACAGTACTGCAACAAATTCCTATTGTTAATATCTGTTGATGTAATTTTATGATTCTCTTCCTTTCATAGCTTGGTATGTGAATTGCGCTTAGAAACTTTTTCTAATTTTAAATCATTTTTGCATTTCTGGGTTAAACCTAAATTGTCACATGCTAGTGGAGGTAACACTTATAGCATCTGCTCTAATTGCAGTGTTATAAACGCTTTGCATATTGTAGATCATTTAATCTTCATAAAAGCCTTTGAAAAGACACAGGAGTTAAGTACCCTTTCTCAAGATACAAGAAAGTGAAGCTGGAATTTTCACCCAGTGAATCTCGGAATGGAACTGATTTGTCTCTTTAAGGGAATTTTAGTTTTCACCAATAAAATTCGCTTGTAATTTTTTTTCTCTTACCTTTCTGGGTTTTTTTTTTTTTTATGTCAGGTTGTACTGGTCTCACTGAACCTCACTGAATGAATCTAGTAGCATTGCTATTTTTTTCTGTCCCCTAGAAAAGGTTATATCAGAAAAACAGTTTGTTTCTTGAAACACTGTGGAAATCGCCTATAAATCCACCTGAAGCTGCAGATTCTCTCCCCAGACTAGTGGGGAAACCCATCAACTACTTACTGTACAGCTCAGACATTCTGTTTCTTCTTAATACTCATTTTGATAAATTGTTCTTTTCTAGGAATTTGCTCACTTCATAAGTTCAAAATTTATTGGCATAGTTCTTTCCTTGTATTTTTATTATCTTTTTTAATCTCTGTTAGGTTGTAGTTGAGAAACCTTTTTTCTTTCCTTATACTTGTTTTATGCATTTATGCTTCTTACTTTGTTTGATATCAGGTGATAAACTATTTTATTGTCACTACTCTCAGTTTTTTGACTTTTTCATTCATTTTTGCTTTTATCTTTATTATTTCCTCAGATGGGAGATGAATTATTGTGTTAAATTCGTATTTGGAACTCATCGAATTTCAGCCGTTAGTTTCAACATAAGTGGTCAGGCAATAATTTTCATTTACCTTGTATTGATCCCCACGTCTTAGGATGTTCTAAATACCTTCATTGCTTACTGTCTTTTACATCTAAATATCTTTATACCTTTATGTAATTGTTCTCCTTGACCAATGAATTTCACTGGATTTTTAAAATTTTTTTTTCTGTTTTAATGGCAGTTATTAACTAACTTGATCCAAATGATAATCTGTTCCTTTATGACCTACAGTGATTCATCTTTTAAATTAAGTTCAATATGTTTATGTGAAAAATGTGTTTCCAACATCGAGTTCAAGCTTCAATATGCAAGACTTTTTAAATTGACCTTTGCAAATCTTTTTTATGTTCACTAATTTTGTACACTGGTATATCTAGTTATGATTGAGAACTTGAAATTTCTGCTTGTCTGTGATGTTCTAGCATTTCTTTACAATGTTTTGAATCTGTCTTATGCTCAGAAGTCTAGAACGACATTCCTTCTGGAGAACTGAATTTTATAATTACGTGCTAACATTCCCTCCCCTTAATAATGCTTGTTCTTTCGAAGTCTAGGCTTTGTCTCATAATTTGGTAGAGCAGACTGCCTTGAAGAGGTGAGGCAGCATCACTGCTATTACTGTGCAGGTGTTTCTACAGCTTTACTTTTTGCTTTCTCTTTGTCGTGTTCTTCCTACGCCCTTTTCTTTCTCTCGACAAAATACGTGTAACAAAAAACTGAACACATTAAGTTAAAAAATGCAACACATGTTCAGTGTACAGCTCGGTGGTGTGAAGACGTTGTGTGCTCACCGTCTCTTGAGATTGTTTTCATCATGTAACCGTTGTTTCCTGACGTGAGCAATTTTTTATTGTTGCGTCTCATTTTCATTTGCTTTCTGCTTGTCCTAGTAGTTCCTGATAGTTTACTCTTTGACTTTATCATCCATAATGAACTACATTTGATATAAACTTACCTAAATTGAGTACCTCGAGCGTCTCCTCCCAACTCAGGGTCTTTTAAACTTCCTGTTCTTTTTTAGACCACTATTTTTTGTGTTTATCCTTTATGTTTGCTCTACAACTGAGACGTTTCATTTTATAGTCTTATATACATGTTGTTTATATTCACTTCACGGAGTTTTTTTAAATTCCTTTGTCTCTTTTGCCCCTCTTAACCTCAGAAACCTCACTTTGCTTTGCAATGTGTTAATTTTTGTGTTTTGCTTTACCAGATCATCCACTGCATACATGTCCAGTATTTATCTTTGTTATTCTGTCTTGCCTTACTACACATAATTCCCTAAGAATCTCTCCATTTTGATATAAATGGCAGTATTTCCTTTTTCCTCATGACTGAATAATGCTCCACTGTCCAGTACACATCTTAATCCAGTCATTTCATAGAGGGCAGGTAGGTTGCTTCCAGTTTTACCAGTTTCTTAGCCTTTCATTCTCTTCATTAGAGCTTTCTTCTGAAAAAGAATACACACACACACACACACACACACAGAGACGCATATGTGTATGTATGCACACATACATGTATATGTATACATATATGCATGTGTATACACACGTATATGTATATACATGCACACATATGTGTGTATACATATATGTATGTATATACATGCATATATACATACGCACATATATGTACACACACACATGTGTGTGTGTTATTTTTTTTTTCCTGAGACAAATCTTTAGAGATTCCTGCACAACTGATTGTGGTAAGATCTGGCAGTTTTTGCTTCCATGAGCCTCATAGATGAAAAGTAATTTTTCTGGGTATGTAATTTTCATCATGTCTCTAAATATATTTTCAACTCTTTTGGTTTTTACTTGTTGGAGAATCTGTTGGAGCCTCTGTTTTTTTGGAGGATGAGATTAGGTGATTGGCCATTCTCTGATTTCTTTTAAGGTCTTTTATTTTTGTTTTATTTGGCATTGTATGGCTTGGTTTTTTTTAAGCTTCTTGGCTTGATTTTCTTCTTTTACTTTATAGAATTTTCTATATTGGTGGAGTCATCTTTAATTTTAGCACTTATGTTTTTTCACTTTTAAATGTTCTATAAAGTTCTTTTATAAATCTTCTAATCACTTTTAAAGAGCCTCTGTCATTGTCCCGTTTTGTGATTTCCTTCATACACTCATGCATAGCAATTTTGTGTCAGTGTCTGGTGACTCCAGTGTCAGATACTATGGGGCTTTCTTTTTATTGTTGTTTGTGTTGCTGGTTGGTTCTTTGGGTGTTTAGTAATCTGTGGTTGTGAACTCAAATTTTGTGCTATTAGAGAAACCTAGATTTCCGTGAGGTTCCTTTCCCCACAGATTTGCTGGGCGACGAGGATCGTGCTGACCTAGTTCTGCCTCAGCCTGCTCCGCACTAGAGAGTTTCTTTAACTAGAGAGTTTCACTTACCTCCTCGCTTCCAGCCTGAGGTGTAGTCTCCGCATCAAGGGCAACGTTTATTTTTATCATTTCTAATCGTTTGATAGTCTTTAAAAGAACCTCACAAATAAGCACTACATTTCGCAAAATCTTTGAACCATGTCATCTTACTTGCCTATACCTGGTTAAATGCAGAAAGCAAGGTGCAAACGTGTAGACCAGCTATTCTTTGGTAGTTACCATGAGAAAGTGACACTAGACACAGAGCACCCGCTCTCAGTGCCTGTTAAGGTGTAGTTCATTTCTTTTCACTTTATCCTGAGGTGAATAATTTGATTCTTCTTCACTTCATGGTAGCACTTTAATGGCCAACTTTGGTCTCGAGCTTTCAGAGTTGGTAACTTATATTCTTTTCACAAAACTGTAGGAACTAGTCCAGGCTAGTGAGCGCTTAAAAAACCAAGCCAAAGAGCTGAAAGATGCACATTGTCAGAGGAAGCTGGCCATGCAGGAGTTCATGGAGATCAATGAGCGACTGACAGAATTGCACACCCAAAAGCAGAAACTTGCTCGCCATGTCCGAGATAAGGAAGAAGAGGTGGACCTGGTGATGCAAAAAGTTGAAAGCTTAAGGCAAGAACTGCGCAGAACAGAAAGAGCCAAAAAAGAGGTTAGTAGAGAGGCCAATGGCGTAGCGCCCGTGGGGTAGTGACAGGGTGCACGTGCAGATTAGTGGACTGATATAAATGTTCCTCTTTTAATTCTTGGAGTTTGGCAATGTTACTTAATGTACATTTCAGTGTATGTGTTGCCTTCCTATAATAAGCTATGTGCCCATGGTAAAATTATTTCATTGGTAAACCATGGAATCTGCTTTTTTCATTTAATTTCAAAGCTGGAAGTTCATACAGAAGCTGTAGCCGCCGAAGCATCTAAAGACAGAAAATTGCGTGAGCAGAGTGAGCATTATTCTAAGCAACTGGAAAATGAACTGGAGGGGTTGAAGGTATCGTTTCATTTTATTTCATGAAGTTCAACGAATTGTCTCATCCTTTGGCTTACCAAGCGTGTTAGTGTATGTGCTTTCTATCTTTGGTGCAGAGTAAAAACTAGCAATCCTTTAAGCTTACTTTCCTTACTTCTTATTCTTCCCAGTAGGAAACTGATAGGCTTCTTAATCATTCTGGAAGAAAAAGAAGGACTATATCTTTGTCAGGAAGGAGTTAAAATATTTATGAAGAGGTGCACTGATAATATGCACATTTGACCAATAGCAAATTCAGAGAATCACAACTTCCCACAGCAATAACCTTTCTAGGAATCAGTAACCAGAACCTGAATTGTAATTGAAAAGTTGTTGTAGGCTCAATGTGGACATGTCAGAGAAATAAAAATTCCAGAGGGCCTTGTCATTGTGGGTCCCAGATTTTTATGATTTTACCTTCTAGCTTCCTTTCAGGTTCTCGTAGTAAATAATCAGAGAAAAATCTCCTTATGCCAGAAGTGGGAGCAGCCATTTTGAAATATGCCTAAGTGTTTCTTAGTTAAGTAAGGTCTGTTCTCAGAGAAACTCTTCAATTTGAAGGCTTAACTTCTGTTATATATATATATATAATTCAACCAGGTTTTCCCTCCTTAGTGACCTGCCTAAAAACACAGAGTGCTTCAGAGTCGATATAAAGATGTAAGAGTAGATCTCTGTCTTTCCCTGGATTATTGGAAAAGCTTTTTCTTTTTGCACATTCCAGCCCCACATTCCTTCCCCCAGTTTAATACTTCAAAGGCACAAATGTCACAACTGGCATTTATAACTTTTTATTCATTACTCAACAGGAAAAGGATTCAGTTAGATTTTCTTTTCTCACTCCATACACCAGCAATAACGGTATATAAGTCAGAAATTTCAATGTCAAACAAACAGTTATGTAAGTAATAGCAGAAAATACAGATAAATACACAGGCTTGGTGTGTAGAAGACAAAAATTCAACAACAATAGAAGACTGCTAAGAAAATAAAGACATGGCAGACAATTTTATAGCCTCAGCAAAGTATTTTTATATGATATTATAAAAAAGTGCTCAGTTATAGGGACTGTCCTTAAACGTAGAAATAAATGAATGTTTAATATCTTACCATTCTTGTACATAAACTGGTCTTCATTATTTTTACTTCTGTAGCAAAAACAAATTAGTTACTCACCAGGAATATGCAGCATAGAACATCAGCAGGAGATAACCAAACTGAAAACTGATTTGGAAAAGAAAAGCATCTTTTATGAAGAAGAATTATCTAAAAGAGAAGGCATCCATGCAAATGAAATTAAAAATCTGAAGAAAGAACTGCATGATTCAGAAGGCCAGCAACTTGCTCTCAATAAAGAGATCATGATTTTGAAAGACAAATTGGAAAAAAACAGGAGAGAGAGGTAAGAAATGACTTGCTTACATCGCCAGTCCGCACTTACTGGGCGCCTGTCAGATGCCAGGGAGGGCGGACACGGGCAGTTCCGGGAGCCAGGTCGGGACTGAAGAGCAGGACGTGGCAGCACAGCAGGCGGCAGCCAGAGAGGGTGAGCCGAGGGCACCCTCTGGAAGGCACCAGAGATGACGGTAGTGTGGTTAGGTTTGGGACAAGGTTACTTCTGAGATACAGGCAGAGAAATCAGAAAGCTACAGAAGAGTGTCCAGGGGCATGGGCAGCTGGCCGGACTGCAGTCTAGAGGAGAGGGGACGTGGGCCGCTCTGGAAGGGAGAGCTGCTCACGGTGGTGGAAGCATGAAGACAAGAACGAGAGTGGTGAGAAACGAGGGCAGAAAGAAAACAGACCCAGGGCATGGCAGAGTATGAGAAAGAGACTCACCCTGGAACCACCGAAGGGCAGTGAGATGTTTACGCTCAAGCTTAAATGTTCAAAGATTGTTCTCGCTACTATTGGTGAGCAGACTGCAGATTGCTAGTGAGAGAGGTGTGGCTGGACCTCCGTAGTGGTGGAGAAGAGTGCAGGGGTTCGCGAAGTCCTCTGAGGTGACAGCCTGCAAGATGTGACCACATGTGAGACGTGGTCAGTAGAAGTCAGCGGCACGCAGCTTCTAGATTTTTGACAGTTGAGTGTATGTCGGTGTTATGTTGGAAGCCGCAGTGTTTTAGCTTGATACACTCAATTCAACGGGAGTTTTTTGACCCATTTATGTGTAAAGCGGAATTGTATGTTCTGGGAACATAGCACCGAATGGACCGAAAACATCTCTGTCCCTACAGTTTTTCTTTAGTTATAGTGAAAGGAGGAGACACAGCAAGTAAAATATAGAACGTACTTGATCCTGATTATGTCTTAATAGGACGGCCAGGAAAATTATACTGAGAAGGTGGCTTCTTAGGACAGACTGAAGACGGTGAAGACGGTAACTAGACAGAGGTACAAAAAAAGCATTCTGCACAGGGAAGACAAGTCTATTCCAGAAATACTGAGAAGCCACAACCAAGGAGTCAGGGAAAGGCAGGAGGAGAGAGGGCTGAGCAGCCAGAGCAGAGGCACCGGAGGCCAGTGAGCTGCTCCCGGTCACGCCACTGGTGGATGCCTGTCACTCTGCGGTCATCCAAGCCCCAGGACACACAGCTTGGAGAATGAGTGGCAGGAGGCATGGCCTTTGAGTGGTAACGATGTGTCAGTGTAGACTCACCAGCTGCATCGAATGCAGTGCTCTGATGGGAGCTGTCAGTAGTGAGGGATGGTGGCAAAGGGGAGAGGGGAAGTCAGGATTGCTGTAAACCTAAAACTTTCCTACAGTACATAGTCTGTGGGAAAATAATAATGAGGCCAGTGTGACTGTATTAGGATTAAGGGGGAAAACTAATAAGAGAGAGCCAGTTCCAGGAACCAGATCATGCAAGATTTTGTAAATCAAGTTCACTTGACTTAAAATATCTATTCTGAGTCAAAGCATTGCAGATATTACTGCAGGATTTTGAGTGAAAAATTTACAAACATTGACTTAAGTTTTAAGAAGAATTACTTTGACTGCTGGGTTAAGACTAGTCTGAATTGGGTAGGAGCATAAACAGCAGCACCATTTAGAAGGCTACTGCAGTGATTCAGGAAAAGATGGTGGTGGCTTGGTCTAGGGCAGGGGTGGATTGGTGGGCAGTTTGAATTCTGAGGCTCTTTAAAGGTAAAGATGATGTATGTGCTCATGGACTGGGTATGGGGTGAGACTGGATGAGAAAGAACCAAGGATGATGCTTCTGGCCTTGGCAGTTAGTAGTAAAAAGCTGCACTGAGAGAAGAAGACTGGGAGAAGAAAGCTTGTTATGGGAGGGAGCGGTTCATTCTGAAGAAGTTGTGCGTGCAGTGTCCATTAGAAACCCAGGGAGAAACGACAAGGTTATCATACAGACCAATGTGGATTTCAGAGCTACAGATAAAATCACTCACATGCTGTTTAAAGCAGTGAGACTCCCTGAGATAGATCACTTAGCAAATGTTTTTAAATAGGAAAGCAGTCTTAGGCTAGGGACCCGGGGTACAAAGTGGCTAGAGAGGGCAGAAAGAAAACCAGGTAGTTTGGTGTCCAGGAAGCCATATGATGAAGCTATATCCAATTGGTCTACATGTTGAATGAGATGAGGTCTGAATGAGGTAAGGTGAGCACTAATATTGTCAGTTTACTTTCACAACGTGAAAGTCATCGGTGTCTTAGGTAAAACATTTTTAGTGAAATATTAAAGCTGAAAACCCTACACTGGGATCCAAAGAGTTAGAGGAGAAAAACTGGAGACAGGGTCTAGATGAAACTGTTATTCCTTGGTCTTTAATTATATGAGCAAGGAGTGCAATTAGGTAGCAATGAAAGGAGAGATATATCTCAAAAGAATTAGCTTGGTTTTCTTTATAATGGGAGAAATAATACCATGTGTGTAGGCTGGTAGAAATTTCCTGATAAGGTGTTCAGATATTCTAGAACATGGAGTGATGTACTTTGTTAGGGGCATAGCAAATGGCTTAAGCTGAGCTACATTTTTCTACATTGTCAGAGAAAATAAAGTAGGGTGTCGGTAACTGTTTACACTCCAAAGTTGGGCATGTTGAGTTTGAAGTTCTTGGTGACCTTTTTGTGCAGATAGCAAGGGTTTAAGCACGTGGTCTGGCCCCATTCCCTCTTAGATGCGGATTCACAACTTGCTAGTGTAATAGGTAATAACTGAAATCAAGTTGTCTTGGAGATGTTCAGGGAAGGTGTGATCCATGTAGCTTCCCTTTCCCTAAACGCCGAATTTCCTCCCGCTTTCTGGTATGTGCATGACCAGTAAGGCGAGCGCAGGTCACAGACAGCTGTCTTTCTCAGATTCTCAAATGAAAAACATAGGAGTGTTGTTAACCAGACAGATGGATTTACTAATTCAAAGCAAATGCTCGTAACTCTTAAGATAAAGCGTTGGGGCTAGGAACAGTCAAAATATAAGTGAGTTTCAGAATAAAGCATATGGGGTACTAGCCAGTCCGAGACCGGTATTTTACCTTTTGTTCTGTTTCTTTTTCTTCCTTTTATGTTTTGAATTGGGTTAGTCAAAGTGAAAGAGAAGAATTTGAAAATGAATTCAAGCAACAGTATGAGCGGGAAAAAGTGTTGTTAACTGAAGAAAATAAAAAACTGACAAGTGAACTTGATAAGGTGAGTGATTAGTCTCATTACGTTAGTTGAGCACATACTAAATGCTCAGTTGTGGGTAGAAACTGTGTGTAATTTCATATTTGGCATATATTTTCCGTTTACTCTCCCCCCTAGTAAAGCTTGCTTGTATGCTACAGGTAGTTTTTTGTTACCCTAATCTGTATAGGCATTTTCTGGAAGGAGGATTTCCTCCTATTCTTTGTCCCACTTACTTTTTGAGTCTCCAGTCTTTATTTTACTCTTTATCTACTATATTTTTCATTCTTTCCTCTCATATTTGTCATTTCCTCTCTCATGGCTAATTTAGTTAAGGCTGGCCCCTAACAAGAATGGGAAATCTTGGAAATTTGGGGTTAATCAAGATTTCATAGATAAGACATTAAAAGTACAGTCCTTAAGAGAAAAATATATCCCTTAATAGAAAAAAATGGAAACTTTGAACATTAAAAAAATGAAAAGACACAGACGAGGAGATATTTACAAATGATTTATCTGATAAAAGCCATATTCACAATATATAAAGAAATCTTGCTGAGGTGGTAAAATGTAGTCTGGACTCCATACAGTATTATGAATACATGTTGATACATTTTTTTAAACCTAGAAAGAACGCTTAACTCAAAACTCATCAAAACCCAATGAAAAAATTTGAATAGACATTTCATGAAAGAAAATGAATAACAAACACATGAACAGACTCAGTGTCTTACAAGTTAAAACCACAGTAAGATGGTGTGCTATACCTCCAGGAGTGACCATCATCAGTTTTAGTGACCACACCAACTGTTGGCACGGACGTGGAGGAACTGGAATTCATACTTTGCTGGGAAAAGCATAAGCTCGTATAACCACTTAAGAAGATAATTTCAAATTTTCTCAAGTTAAGCGTATACTTAACCATACAACCCCAAATTCTCCTAAATGCTTATCCAAAAGAATTGAAAATACAGTCCTTTTAAAAAACCTGATTGTGACTGTCCACAGCATCATTATTCATAGTAGAAAACAACTGGAGATAGTACAAATGCCCACCAACTAGTGAATGGACGAAGTAGTTTGATAGCTATATCGGAGAATATTAGTCAGCTATTAAAAAGAGTAAATTTCTAACACTTGTAGCACCATGTTTGACCTTCAATAATATAGGTGAAAAAAGACTGATACCTAACATACTTGTATGATTCCATTAATACAACACTTCAAGAAAAGATAACAGTGTAGTCACAGAAAATAGGTCCATGATGCCTGGGTAGAAGTCAGGTTTAACTGCAAACCAGCATGGGTGAAATCAAAAGTGTGCCAAGACGGATTGAAATGATTGTTGCACAACTGTTGCATTAATTAAAATTCACCAAATCATATAATTATGTGAGTGTTATAGTATGCATATAATACATCAGTAATGCAGCAGTTAAAAAAAAATAGCTGGTAAAATAAATTTCAGAGGTTTTGCAAAGCACTCTTTGAGGCCCTCCGTGGTGGCACACGTGGTGGCACAACAAGTTGAAGCACAGCACTGCAAGCTAGCCACAGCCGCTTCAGCACAAGTTTGATGCCCAGCCCGGGCGGTGACCCACGGGGCGCAGCAGACCTCTGCGGTCTCCCTGCTGCTCCACTCAGCAATGTACTTCTCTGTCTGCCTCTTCTGCTCCCCACTCTGTGTCTGGTGAGTCCTTTCACCTCCCCTGCGCCTCTGGCGTGGTCATCAGTCTGTATGTGTAAATAAATAATTAAAAAAAAAAAAAGGTAAATAAAAAGTGCTCCTTGAGGTACAGAACTGAAATCCCTACTGCAAACAGGCACTTACTGTGAGATTGGCACTGGTAGTTTCCCTGGAACCCACTTTCTTCTCAGAGAACAAAGAGAGTTGAGGTAGGTTTAAATGGAGGAATATGTATGAGATAATTTGTTCCTTTTTCAGAAGGGGAGAAATAAAACATTGCTTTGTGATTGGTGACTTATGTGCTGGGTTCTGCCTTTTTGGTTGGGCTTTCTGCTGCTTGCATGAAGTCCACTAACGTTTGGGAGGGTAATTTCAGTCGGTGGTTTCAGTTGCTGCTCTTACCCAGAGAGACCTTCACAGACACACCCAGGATAACTTTGCCCAGCTGTCTGGTACCCTTTGACTAGTCTGTTGACATAAAATAACGAATCAAATGATCCCCCACTCCCCATAAATCTTCAGTAAATGGTTCATCTAAAGTTTTAAAACTTTAAAATAAGTGTATGATATGTTCAAGAAAATAGAAGATATGATAGAGAATATTAGCAAACAATTGATAGAAGTCTTAATAAATTTCTAGAAGCAGAAAATAAAATAACATATCCAATAATGTATTATTAATCATCATAAATTCTTAATAGCAGGTTGGAAAGAGTCAAAAGAATAGGCAGGCGTCAAAGGATTTTTTTTCTTTAGACTAAATTATGGATAGAAAAAATGTATATAGAAAAAGAGAGGAGACATGCTAAAAATTCCTGCTACACAAATATTTGCTTCCCAGCATGAACAGAGAAACTGTAACAGAAGCAATGTTTGAAGGGTAAATTTAGACTCAGAATTTTCCAAAACCGATAAGAAACATGTAGCTATAAATTCATTAACGCTAAAAGTGATCATCAGCAGCTAAACTCCACTTAGGCTCACCCTTGAAAACTGCAGGAAACCAGTAACCAAAGAAATTGTAAAAGCAGCCAGAACAGAAAGGCACATTGTAGTCAAAGGAACAAAAATTAAACAGCTGACTTCCCAACAACAACAAAAATTGAATCAAGAATAAAATCTTTCAAAAACGAAGATAAAACTTATACTATAGAAAAGTCTGTGGGGCAAAAACTACATTCTTCAACAAACTGCAAGAAAAATAAACATGTTGGAGGGGACCAGCTCTGGAATAAATATTTGTGTTCCTCCAAAGTGCATAGGGTGAAACTAACCCTTAGTGTGGTAGTGTTGGGAGGGTAAGTTTTGAGAGGTGATTACTCATCACGGTGGAATCTTCGTGAATGTGACTTGAGCCCCTATAGTAGAAACCTCAGAGAGCTCATGCACCCCTTTCATAATCTTGAGGACACACACACAAAGAACCAACGATGGACCGAAAGCAGACCTCCTCAGATGCGTGGCTTGGCTGTGGAGTCCTGTTCACTTGACTTCATGGTATTTGGTGAGAGTAGCCCCAAGAAACTACTACAGGAGGCTATTTAAAAGAGACTTAGGAGATAGAACAATACTTAGCCACATTGATGTTTTGGTATCTTCACCCAATTTAACAAACTGGTTTTTTGTTATTTCAAGAACTGGAAATATGAGTAACTCTGACCTATCTGATTATAGCAAGAAACTTGTCAACTTGCTATAAGTATGATCATGGCATTGCGGTTATATTTTAAAAGAAAGAACCCGTTTTCCCTAGAGATATACACAGAAATGAGACCTGTAAAGTTACGTGACATTTGTTATTTGCTTCAGGATAATACAGGAGAAAGGGTAAAAAACAAGAATTAACAAACCCAACGATTTCTTTGAGGTGGTATCTGTTGAACTTGTGTGATAGACTTGCACTCTACCGTTTTTATTATGCTGAAAATTCTTTATAAGGTTTTTTTTTAATGGATGGCAAAGACATTTTCAGAAAAAAAATTGAAAGATGTTACTAGCATAGTTGCAGAGTTCTTCAGGCAAATGGAGAATTTTCACAAATGTAACTAATTCAATACAGAAAAAGAAAAAGCAAAGGCGAAAGAATTCAGAGTACTTATGTCTCCCAATTCAGTTAGATTGATGCATAATAAAGAGATCAGGAAGACAGGTATTTTGATTAGAAACTGGTGAGGTTTAAGTGGAGGTTTAACCAGAAGCATTTAAGAATCTTGAGTTCCTGTTCCTAAAAGTTACATGTCTTTAAAACCACCTTTCAGCTTACCACGTTGTATGAGAACATAAGTATTCGCAACCAGCAGTTAGAAGAAGAGATAAAAGATCTAGCAGACAAGAAAGAATCAGTTGCACATTGGGAAGCCCAAATTACAGAAATAATTCAGTGGTGAGTACTCTTGTAAATGTGTTTTTATGTCTATTACATCATCTGAAATGTGTGTTTCATTTGAAATGTACAGTATTATGGACTTTGCATCATCTGAAAATAGTGACAGTTTGATTTCTTTTCCAATATGGATTCTTTTTTATGTCTTCTTGCCAGACTCTGGCCGAAACTTCCAGTACTTGGTGACATTAGGCATGCGTGTCTTTTTCCTGATCGTAGAGACAGAGCTTTCAGCTTTTCACCTCTGTGTGCAGCACTGGCTGTGGGTTTGCCACACTTGGCTTTTAGAATGTTTTGAAATGAGAACAACTTCTACTCTCGTGGTTCTTTGAAATAACACATATGTCACTGAAGTTTTCCTTTTGTACGTGACCTCGTTCCTTGTATCTTCTAGGGTCAGTGATGAAAAGGATGCACGAGGGTATCTTCAGGCCTTAGCTTCTAAAATGACTGAAGAATTGGAAGCATTAAGAAATTCCAGCCTGGGCACACGAGCAACAGTAAGCACTGCTCTTTTGCATGGAGTCTTCTCACACGTGTGGTCCCAAAAAACACTCATGCTTCGGTGCACTGGTCTTGGCTTCAGCTCACTGTAGCTTTTCTTCAGAAATAATTCAGCCCCAGCCTTTTCCACAGTAGCAGGTCACCACTTACGTGCTTAACTACTTACGCGTGTGGCTGCCAGCATTGCTAGGAACTATGAACAGCTCACTTGAGTGTGTGTCTACATCTATTTCAGGCATTAATGACAGATAGTATGTTTCTACAAGCAATGTTTCTAGTCTGCTATTCAAGAAAGATGGTGCTGCTTAAGTCATTTCAAAGTCCACTTGGATTACTGGTTGTAAATGTAAAAAGTAAAGAAAGAGCTAACAGCACAGGCTTGTCACCCCACAGGATATGCCCTGGAAGATGCGTCGTTTCGCAAAGCTGGACATGTCAGCGAGGCTTGAGTTGCAGTCAGCGCTGGATGCTGAAATAAGAGCCAAGCAGGCCATCCAAGAAGAGCTTAATAAAGTTAAAGCTTCCAACATCGTAACCGAATGGTAAGATTGAATAATATATTCCCACTAGAACAATTTCTAAGTTGGGCCAACAGTATTCAGAGGGAAGCTACATATTTTGTTTTCTACCGAATCACTTTTTGTTTCAGTGATGACCAGAAAGGATTATGAAGATTTGAAAATAAATGATTGCTTATTGTCCCCCTTTTAGAAATTAAGTTGCTCTCAACTTTTACTCCATTAAATCCAAAATGCAGTCCTGTCCAGGAATATCATACTTGTATAAAAGTGCAACAGGTAGTCAGAAAAATAGTTTCATCTGCAAATTCTGGCCTCTACTGTAGACCCCTTCTAATTGAAGGTGCAATCGATGATAATTTTGTTTCTCTTTTTCTTTTACTTCTTAAAAATGGATGTCCCCCATTCTTTTGAACTATTTGCTAATGAATGCATCTTTCAATTCTTACTTACAACAGTAGAGCATGTCGTACTTTGAGTAAATAAATGATAAAATAAAACTCATCATTATGGTCTGAGAGTAAGTCGGGACAGGTTTATAGGGAAACAATAGAAAGTACAGGTTACTAGTAAAATCATCAATAGAAAAAATCACTTGTCACTTTTCTTGAAATACATAAGATTCCAAAGGTATTTAGTCATAAGAACATAAGCCTTAAGTTCAGTTTTTTAAGCTATATTCTTTAGTCCTTTAACTCATCAGTAATGTTTGTGGCACCTGTTGAGTTACAGGCTTTCATTCTGAGTAATCCAGTAAAGTCAGCTTTGATTATGCTTCAGTGGCACTGAAAAGGGGGAAGAAAATTTTCTGGAGACTATGAATTGATCCCAGCAAAAGAATTACCAAATGTCATTCCCTTTGGGTTGTAATTTGAAATAAATATGATCTTTTTTCTTATGCTTACAGCATATGAGTTTATACAGTTATTCATAGTGTGCTCCACTTTCGTAGTTTCCTATGAAAGAAGTCAAACAGAATTATAAAATTAACTTTTGATTTCATGACATTTCAAAATTTAATTATTTAGCTCAGGGTAAGCTATTTTTTAATAAAAGGTCAGATATTAAATATTTTAGGCATTGCAGGACACACAGTTTTTACCTACTCTGCTGTTGTAGTGCAAAAGCAGCCATAACAATATGTAAGTAAATGGTCCTGGCTGTGCTCTAATAAAGCTGTTGACATGAGGGCCATGGCAACCTGAAGTTGGCCTTCCTACAATAGCTAAGTTCCCTGACTGAGCATGGCTGACATTCAAACCAAGTAAATCCAACTACAGACATGATGGCTTACAAACTAGAAGCAAAAATACTGACATTTTTTTCTTCCCTATCCCCCACCCCTCTTTTTTTTTTTAAGTAAACTAAAAGATTCAGAGAAGAAGAACTCGGAACTACAATCAGAAATCGAACAACTGCTGAAGAACACTGAAGAGCTTAGATCTGAAAAGGGTATGAGAATGTGTTTTGCGTCAGTGAGGACTGACTGCTGTGCTCTGGGTCCCTTTATTGCTTAGCTGGGAGAGTTGTTCACCTAAGTAACTTTGACACTCGTTTATGAAGACACATGTGTCTGTGATACACCTTTGGTAGTTGAGTCTCTGAGTCATTCGTTTTACTTAATATATGTTGTTTAAAGTTTTCATAATGACAGAAAAGCTCACTTTGCCCTAAATTGACTTTTTTTCAGTGCTAAGGACTATTCCATAAATATTTTTGTGATTGGTTAAAAAATATTATTTTATAATACACTGCACTGTTCTTAAAGGCATAGGATATTACTTCGAAGGTAGTTGAGAAAACAGTGTAAGAAGTGACTAAAGATTAATCTGGGATTAGAAGGTCAGTTCAATAATGAAGAATTACTTTGGCATTTCAGTATATTTGACATTGCTTGACCTGTGGGACTTCCCAGTATTCCCATTTTCGTGAAAACTTGAGTGTTTTCCCATCAGCATGAAAAGGAACTCAAAGTGCTTGAAATTCTCTGCTACATGAACTTTGTAAACATTTTCCCCATAGTGTGGGTATTAATACTGTGAAGACTTAATAAATTCAAAATGTCATTTTCTTAATGAAGATGTATCTTATATGCTGCTGTTAGAAATTAACTTTTCCGACAGCCATTATTTTGTTGAACACTGAGTTAGTTAAATGGGAATTGTCCGTCCTACCCACATACTGCGCTATGATCCCACCCTGTGACGCACAGCACTGTGATCTGGTTGGGTCTCTGCGTCTGCTTTTAGATTTTGGAGGAAAGAAGATAATCGCATTCCCATAAAGGGACCATGTGTATTGAATTGCGATTTACATAATGAGGGCAAGGATTTTTTTCCCTCTGCTTTATATACTAGCCTCATTATTCGAAACAGTATCTGACATATAACGGGCTCTAAGTAAATGTTTATTGACTGGATGAAATTCCAAACAAATTGCCTTATCTGGCAACTATGGTATATTATTAAAGAGTATTATGAAAAGCACACAGATTTATTGATAACAGTTCCTGAGGATATGCAAATAAAAAGTATGTCTTGGTTGTTTCTGCTTTTTCTTCCTTAGTAGTTATTATGTCTGTGTTTTATGAATTGTTTTGGAAACTGTACATTTAGCATTAATAATATAGTCAAGAGATAAGAAATGTGCATGGAATCATATCTCAGTAACCTGAGAAAAACTAGGACTGTTCTTTCTGCTGTTAAAAAATGCCTAAAATCAGATTTATGCCTTAACAAAAGTTTTCTCATCATCAAATACATTTGTTTTATCACTACATTTTTTTCTTATAAATTTTATTAGTGCTTACCATGCACTTTATTATTTTAAAACAGATACCTTGTTTGGTAATAAATTAGCTTAGAAAAATTGGACATAGTCCTGTTTTTTAAATTCTTAAGTCTACCAAAAGATTTAATATTTTTTTAATGGTGTACTAAGTGAACAAAGAAATCAAGAACTCCTGTAAATTAAGAAACAAATATTTGGTGAGAATATATTTTAAATATTAAATGGTATTTCAAGAAATGCTGATATATTTCGGTTAAATATGTAGGACAAATAATATCAATCGACTCTGAAGTCAGACAGGAAAGGTAATCCATGAAAAGTAGCTTGATTATAGTTTTAAAAAAAGCTGCCGCTGTCTTCTAGGTATAGAGCACCAAGACTCACAGCATTCTTTCTTGGCATTTTTGAATACGCCTACCGATGCTCTGGATCAATTTGAAGTAAGTATTAAACTTTGCGGCTATCCTCTGTGGCCAATTTAAAATTCTCTTTATAGTTTAAAATGTCCTTGCAAAAAAACTGTTTTATTGCGTCCCACATAAGAGAACTTAGCACCTACATGAAGAAAACCATACAGGAAAGGAGCGAGTTGTGCCTTCTCCTGGAAACTGTAATCACAGTGACACTTAAGAAAACATCTAGTGAAGGTTCTGCACACGAGCATTTTATAAACGTTGAATTTTATCTCCCCCTGAGAAACAGTAAGTGCAGAACAAATCTTCATATTTGAATAATTCTGGCATTTCTTTTTTCTCCAAAGCAGAGAACCACAAAAAAGATACAAGTGAAAATGTCCAAGCAAGGACTCGGCGGTGCTGGTGCTGGGCCCACCGCCGCTCCGCCGCTCCCGGCTAGGGGTGTGCTTGGCTCAAAGGCTGCGCACGCGGCAGTCTTTGTCAGCCGGCTGCTTGATTCTTGGCTGGGAAAAGAATCGTGATATATTTTTGCCTCCGAAAATTTAAGTTGCTGTACAGAGATAACTGTAAATGTTGCTGAAATTAACTGCTTGAGGTGCTAGAGCTACAGTAGCGACAGATAGACAACGCCCTGCCTCAGAGCCTGTCGTCCCGTGGGGAGACTCAGCGTTCTGTTGCTTCCTAGAGTATTGACTAGAAGCAAACACTCTGCAGTGCTTACACTTCCTTTGATTATCAGTGACTGCCATGAGTGAGCTTCATTTTATTATATTTTGGGTCAGTGTATAGATTAAATTTCATTTCTTTGGGAAAGGGAGAAAGAATCATCCTTTAAGAAGTCATTGATAAATTTGTGTCTTGAGAAACAATGACAGTGACTGCTTTGCTCATTTATTTATTTGAATTAATGTCATTTGCCTTTCAATTGTTTTACAAGTTTTTGATTTATTATTTGTTCTTATTAAATTGCTTCATCCATATTTTCTATTTTTTTATTGCTGTATTCGTTAAATAGGATTCCTTTTCTTCTTCCTCATCTTCACTGATTGATTTTTTGGATGACGTAAGTCTTTGATTTTCAAACCAATGCATCCTTCAGTAAAAAGATCAGTGAATTGATATGAAGAATTTGCCAGTAATTTGCCAGCTTTAGAAAGATCACACTTGATAATTTGTAAAGCAAGATTGCTTCTTTCTTATCTTAAATATAAGGAGTTTATCACTATTAGATGTAATAAAGTAAAAATGTGCTTTGAAAAATGCTTTGACCATCAAAGAATCTGTATTGCCATTCTTTGCAACAATTCTGGAGACTGGAATGCTTGTTTGTTACTGTCATTAAACTGTTACACAGATAGAGAAATAATTGCTCATTTTTATTTTTCATGGTGATTTCTGAGGCACGTTTCTCTTTTCTTGTTAGCACTTTACTATTTAATTTCTGTTAGTTAAAAGTAATCCTCTGCAGGAGTAATCAGGAAAAGTGACTTTTTTTTATTAAATCCTCCAGTAGATTTTATGATAACATAATAATTGATTATAAATCAGTTTTTAATGCTGACAATTTCTCTTTCAATGTGGAAAATGATTTTAGTTAACAAGTATACTAGATACTGAATAAGTTAACTGCATTATCGTTTTCTCTCCTAAATTAATTCTGCAGATTTAATAAGTTAGCGGTCCCTAGTGCATGCTATTGGAATGATCCTCATTCTCTTTACAGACTACCTGCGATGCAGTCTCTCCATTCCATACTAAATGGCACAATAATTCGCATTGTAACGCATTTTACTATCCTGTTTAACACGCACATTTTCCGGAAATACTAATGGCTTCAAATATAAGTACTGTGTTTTTAAAACCAAGGGAACATCTTTAAATGTTTTATTCCTTCTGTTTTGTAAAACATAATTAAATTCAGAAGCATATTTAGCATAATTTTTCCTCTAAAGGAAACTGTGGATCTGGATTTTTTAAAATATTTTAAGTCATTTTCGAAATCTTTATACCAAAGTGCTTAACATATCCATTCAACATGAAACTGTTTTATTATTCCGAGAGAAAGAATTATTCGACAGTGTGATTAAAGGAAATCTCTCTTCATATGAAATAGTATTTCCTGTTACAGTGTGACACATAGTTCACGCCTTCAAAATGCTTCATACTGTGTTTCCATGCAGGTATCATTCAGCTTAGAAAGAAAGGGAAGGGAGTTTCAATAGATCGGTCTTCCCATTAGAACAGCATTTTCATTTTTCTTTCTGACAGCGTCTTTTTTCTTCCTTCTCTGCACCCCCCGTTTCTCCCACAAAGCGATCGCGCGTATTCGGGCACATCGGTGCTCCCCAGCCAGCGGAGGAGCCCTTGGGGCGCACACTCCGCAGCCCCGCCCTCTCTCGCGGCTCTGCCCACTAGGCCGGCGCTGGCATCTGCCCACTAGGCCGGCGCTGGCATCTGCTCGCGCTCTACCTTTCACCCCGTCACCCGGCACAGCCTTGGCTCAGGCGCACAGCTCAACTTTACAGCAGCTAGAAATAGCACAGAGAGAAAAGTTCAGGAAGGCTGCTGCCTTCAGCAGTTCAAATTCTGGCTCTTCAAAAGGCCTCTGGGTTTTCCCTGGTGTTTCCTGAGCGCTTTCTACCAGCTTACTGGGTAAGCACATAGCTGACGACTCTCTGGCCTCAGGTATGACCTGGAGCAAGTTACAGATTCTTTCTTTTGCCCCAGTTTGCTCATCTGGTAACTAAGGACAGTAACAGCGCTGCTCCCATCAGTCAGCTCAGCGATGCCTGACGCCACAGGGCGCCCTCTCGGCCCTGCTCTCCACCGGCGGCTCTCTGCCCGTCCTCTTCAGCCTCCTCCGCGTCCATCAGTTCAGGTTCCCTTAGGTGTATTCTTAATTCTTCATTACTCCGCCTTCTGTCAGACGTCATTGTGCACCACTGCACTTGCTTCTGACTTGTTGAATCATTTAACCTTGGGAAATGCTTTGTGCCTATAGGGTGAAGGCCAGCTGTGAGCTCCCACTTCAGGTCATTATTCCTGATTCTTCATTTGCATTTTGTGTCATAAACCTCTTGTTTCTTTCTGTTGGTAGCACATAACTATGTCTGTCTTTCCCCAAATCACCATTTCATCTGCAGAGTCCTAGGAGAAGGAGGTCTTGACTCACTTCGTCTTTGGCGTCGTTGGGCCCTGCATCTAAGCACACTGCCAGTTCTCTAGCTTCCTTTCTCTCTGATGTTGGTTTCCTAAGGGATGAAATGAATTTTGATATTTGTGAAAACAAGCCAGTAAGGATGTCGTGACAACAACCTGGTGTAAGTTAACCCAGAGTCCACATCTTCTGGTCATTCTTTTTTGTTTTCTGTCTCATTGCTGTAGAAAAGAAGATTGTGTGCATGATCTCAGTTGCAGGAGGGGATAGTCTGTCTTGCGCCAAATTGCCACGACCAGTGTTCTTTGGTGCCCACACGTCACTGCCCTGCTCCGTGCCTCGCGCCCTTGTATTGCCCCTGGGGCCACGTCGTTCCGCGGCCAGTGCCTCCTCTCCTCCCACATCACCTTCTGCGCGTCCCTTAACTCTCACAGGCTTGTTCTTACAGGCATTTTTTGGCATGTCCCAGAGCTCCATCAGACCAAACCACGTCACTTTCCTAGACTTCTGGGGCAGACTTTCACTTTCAGTGGAGCATCTCGAGTTGGAATCCTAAGACACGTTCCGGACATACTCGTAGGTGCAGTCTCTGGCCTTGCAGTGAGAATGCCATCTGGGCGTTAACGTTCACCTAGGAAGTCATGGAAAAGGAAGGGAATTGGCCACTCCTTCATGTTGGGAAGCTACGTTGAGGGTGTATGTCAACACAATGGCCTTCCAAGGTGGTGGGAACTTTCTTTTGTGACCTTTCTCTATGGGCAAATAGGAACTGTTATTTCTACAGGAAACTGAAATGGAAGGTATCTTGAACACTGTGTTTCAAATAGTAGTAAGCCAAGCTCAGAAGACCTTCAGAGTTCTAGACAAGTACTCATTTCTTACTTTAGTCCATCCTTCATTACAGAGGAAGCTAAAAGCTCAGGTATGAACCTGCTTACACTTCCTCGGGTTACTAACAGAAGTACCTGTCTCACACTCCTCCTCTCCCCCAAACCACTCAGTCCCCAGCCCTTTTCTGGAGTTAATCTGTAATCTTTTTCCTCTTTTCCTTAATAATGATACACATTTATTGTGTGTAGAATACACGCAGTTATTATGAAAAGAAACTGCTGGTCTTACGTGATGCATTCATTATCCTTTAAGTTTCCTCTGAAACCCTCTATAGCTGTGTAGTTTTTTCCCTCCTCTGGATCCCCTGACATTCTTATATATCCTCCTCCAGGTGCCCATGCAAACTATAGTCATATCTCTCTGCTATTTGTCTGGTTTCTAGTGGTTTCTCCCCTCATCTGGGAACTTCTTTTTTTTTTTTTTTAAGTGCTTGGCATATTGTAAACCTTCCTTGAACCCTTTTCCCTCACTTCTCATGTTGCCACTACCAATCTTTCTAGAAAAGAAAATGTCCGTCCCTTGATGGTGCGCTATTTTGTGGGTCACTGTGCAAAGTTCAACGAAACTTTATTAACAGTTTCTATTCTCCAGTTTTTCATGAAAATATGTGCACTTTCAGCCTACTAAAAAGTGCGGCTTTATATGTACGTTTATATTCTTGTCTGTTAGTGGAATACTGGTCGGCGGCACTGTGCGTGAGTATTTGTAACGTGTCGTATTCTCCTTTCTTGTTGAAGCGCTCTCCATCCTGTCCTCCAGCTAGCAAAGGCAGACGTGTAAGAGACACTGCGCTTGTGTGCCCACCACTGCCCTCTGCCTGCCTTTCTATGCCTGTGGCTGCGCAACCCGCTGACGTGCGTGCTGTATCTGCCTCTGACTGCATGCCTTGCGCTGCTGCTCCAGCTGTGGCTACTCTGCATCGCTGTATTTTTCTTTCTTTCTTTTTTTCCCCTTTGGCTTTGGCCGCAAAGCTTAGGAATGTTCATATAAATTTCTGTGATCAAACTTTTAATTGGGCAAAAAAAGTAATCCTGATATATGCCTTTAATACTGATCGAATGTAAAGTGAGTGTCTAAATGATCTGATGTAAGCAAATAAGTAGAGATAGCTAAGATATTTTAAGTATGCAGAAAGAAAACTTGGTAATTCACATTAAGCAAAATGCAGTAGTGATTTGGGATAAGTTAAAACTTAATGACTGTAACTTTATATAAAATAGCTCTGGAAGTCTTGATAGACATTTTCATGTAATTCAAAAGAAGATAAATATCTTCTACTTAGTGATTTGAGGCAAGGGCCTTAGAAATAAACACTTCCTATTCTAAAATATTTCCAAGGTTTAAAAACTATCTGCAACATTCTTTCTGTATGTATTGATAGCAAACTGTTAACATCTTCCTCTGCTACTGCTGGGTGAATGCTTCTCGCTCTGAAATAGACTGGCTGCCACACCTGCCCTGGGAGTCTGTGTCCAGAGTGGGGAATCTGCCTGTCATCTCAAGTCTTGGTAAAACAGCCTTCACCCCAACACCCACAGAAACTCCCAGTGGAGAAACAGTGAACTAGCTAACATCCTTTACTTTGATTTTCCTGTATGGTATAAAACAGTAACTTTAAAAAGGAAAGTCTGTGATAAATACAAGCTTCTAGCTTTCTCCAGTGAGCTTCTTGGATTCCCTGTTGATCTATGCCTTAAACCCAGAATTCTTGCCCTTAGAAATTTCTAGATCATGGCATTTTCAAGTTTATGGAGGGGCTGGGAAGTAGTGGAGTGGGGTGGCGCACTGCTTCCTGTTCTCTGAGGCAGTGATGGAGAACTGATTGTGAAGTCAACACGATTAGTTCTAATGTGACTCCTATTGAATAACGAATAAGTAGTTCAGATTGCACGGGAAGTTCACCGATACTGCGTCACTGACATTGGTGGAAAGGCAGCTGGCTCAGCTGATTTCTTGATTAATCTGAAATTTGTGGAGTTTGAGCCATTGGGTGTTTGGACTTAAAATCTGAGTAGATGTTAACTACATATCCTCAGGGAGGGGGTCTCAGTATGTTCTGTGTCCAGTGATAGTAGTTGATTACCTACCCATGAATAGAATGTTTTAACTACTTGGCTTTTATTAAGATGATAATTTTTTTGTTTTTCTGATTAAATTTATTTCAGATTAGTTATAGCTCACTTGTCTTGCACATTTTTGTAATATTACCCATAATATTTCTGCGAATCTTGAAATAATGAAAAATTTTTAGGGAAAGAGTTGTTTTAAGGCCCATATTCCTTAGATACTTATTTTACTGGACCGGAACTTACTGACTTACATATATGTGAGTTTTAAAAAATTTAAATGTGATAAGCTTGGTAATTTTCTTTTAGGCATCCTTCAGTTTTTCCTTGGTTAAATGACTCGAATTCTTGAGGTTTTTCAATACATACCTCTTGGCAGTAAGAATCATTCACATAAGTCTCTTTCTTCTAATAAGATTTTATTCAACAAAAATGATAGAAAACTTAGGAATGTGAGTAGGTTTTTATTTCTGAACCATATTTTTAATCACATGAAGTGAAAACTGGCTACTCACAAAAGTGACTTCTTGGGTTTTGTTTTTTCCTGGCATATTTTCCTAGACTGATCCTGTTGAGAGCTCATATGTACAGAACCCGACCATCAAGTCTTACATCCAGCCAGGTCCACATCCCCTTTACATCTAGTGAAGCTGAGCCAGTGTAGGTGCCGCAGAGGAGCAGTCTTGCTCCCCAACTTTTCACTGTGACAAGAAAGGGGAGCTGACAAGCAAGTAAAGTCTGGCTCCTGTTCGCCAGCTCTGGCGCACAGTAGCCTAGTGTAGTGGGGATCATTGCATTTGAGTGATAGTGTAGCTAGGAGAATAATGCTAAAGTAGAAAATTGTCCCTCAGACTTCAGCTACAATGGACTAAGTTTAATTCTAGAGTAGTCATTATTTTAACTATGTCGGTGCACGGCCGTGCCAGGTGCCATCCTCACACCTCAGGTCTTCTGGGTAGGACTCAGCACCTGTCATTTTATAAGTGGAGCTTCAGAGTGCCCTGGTGGCACTGAATCATTGACTCTGTAACTGCTACTCAGTAATAGACACTCAGCTAAGTCGTGCCTTTCCTAGTGTGAGATCAGTGTTGCTTCTGCACCTCATGTCATTCATGGGCTTGAGCACCCCAAGTCCAGTCTTCTGAGCAGAGCACCTTCTCCAGCAGTCAGGCGCTGTTACTGGGCCTCAGGGAGTGTGGGGTCCTCGTCCAGCCCCACGGTTTTGACCTGGCCCCTTTGTGCCCAATTCCTCTCCAGAGCTGCCTCTGGCATCCAATAGAAGCAGACAGTCCGGGCGGAGCTGTCTGCACTGCAGTGTGAGTTGTAGTCCGATTCTGACTTCCTTTTTCCACCCTGCGACACTTATTTTGAGTTATCACCATTGAAATCGAGCCTACAGACAGCAGTGCCATGACACACCATCCACACCTTGAACAGGTGTCAGCTTTTGGCCCTGTTTTTTTCAAGTCTGTCTCGAAAGAAAATATCCTAGAGAGTTGAATCACTCCCTCCTTCCCTCTCCCCGCTCCCCTCCCACACCTATCAGAACAGCCTGAAATTGGTATCTCCTCTGTCGTGGTTTTGCACGTCTGTTTCATTTATATTCATAAACAATGTGATACGAAAACATTTGTTGAGTATTCAAATTTGACACAATGTTTATTTGTATCTTTCTGCAACTTTTATTGTTCCTTATTACAGTTTTGAGGTTTCCTCATACAGATTCACGTCTGTGTGGTTCTATCACTGTTGCATTCTTCATTCTGTGGCTGTGCCTCAGCTATTTATCATTCTCCTGTTGGCCGACATTTAGTGGTCTCCAGTGTCTTGTTCTTACAGTCAGTGCAGAAGTGACCATCCTCACAGCTGCCTGATGGTCAAATTGCAAATGTGCAGTTTGTCTAGCGCAGATGCCTACTGGTGAAATTAGTGGGTTCTGTGTATATGCATTTTCAACTTGAACCAGATCTTGCCGAGTTATTCTCCACAATGGTTGGGCCATTTCCACTCCTTTCAGCAGTACGTGGTCTGTAGGAGCCCTCCACTGCCCACATCCCCACTAAGCTTTGGTACTGTCAGGTTTTAATTTTGCTCATTTGATGGGTATGGGGTGGCATTTGCCTCTCTTTGATTTCAGGTGGTTCAGCATCTTTCTATATGCTTATGGCCATTGGTAACTTCCTATTCATGTCTTTTTTCCACTGTCCCATTGAATTATTATCCAGTTACTTTGTGAGTGTTCTTCGTATATTCTGAACACTAATCCTTAGCTGGCCATATGCATTGCAAGTATTTTCTTCCAGTCTGTGTCCTATTTTTCAATTTTCTTTGTGGTATCTTTTTGTCTTGCAACAGTTTTTGTTTTAAAGTGGCAGTATTTATCAGTCTTTTACTTTATGACTTATTATAAAGTAATTATCAAGATTTTCTTTGATATTACCTTCTAAAATTTTTTATAAATTTTGTTTTTACATGTTTAGGCCTTTATCAGCTGAAATTTATTGTTATTTATTGTGGGAAGTAGGGTTTAATCAGTTTCTAATGTGAACTAACTCACATCTCCTCATTGATTCATAAAGCTGTCTCTACTTTATTAAATTGTTCTACTTGGGGCTATGTATATTTTTTCATTCTTCTTTTTGTCTGCCTGCCCCTACACCAGCATCTGATCTTGCTACATCTTGCTACAGTCCCAAAATAACCCTGGGATCTGGTATGGTTGGCTCCTTCCACCGACCTTAATCTTCTGTTTTTCTTGATATTTTACCATATGAGTTTTAGTTTCAGCTTGTCAGGCTCCATGTAGGGCATTTGATGCAAACTGCACTGCACTTTCAGAGTTGTCTGAGAAGAACCGACACCTTCATGTGTTACGTTTCCATCTCTGAACTGGCATGTGTACATATCGCTGAGATCTTCTTTTTTATCCTTCAATAATGTTCACTTTCCTCATGAATGTACTCCATATTGCTTGCTAGGCCTGTGCCATGTTTTAGGTACCTTAAAGGGTTGTTTTTTTTTTTTTTTTGTTTTGTTTTGCTATGGTGAATGAGAACTTTTTAAAATAAATTTTCTTTTGAAGCAGTGCTAAACTTTGTGAACACTGTTAATCTTGTACCTGGTACCCTCGATTCTTTTCTAATTCTGAAACTTCCTCTTGGGTCTTTTCTGTAAATTCTAATGATAATTTAGTTTCATATTAATTGATATAAGCTTTTATATAGCCTTTCTGTGTTCTTTTTTCATGTTAAGTTATAAATGTTAAGTTTTTAGATGTTAAGTTGCAAGCTATTTAAAAGAAAACTAAATTCAAATTAAATACAACTAAGCAGAAATTTTTAAGGAGTTCAATCTTTATGTTAAGGTGAAATGGCAGTTACATAGTGATAAGATTAGAGAGATCATCTACTTTTCTCTACTACTTTTCCCTTATTTTAGAATATTCTGCGTCTTTATGCAAAACTGGTTTGATGCTTGGTTAGCATCCTAAGAGGAAGTCACTCTTTGTGTCATTTCTTTATACTTTGCTGGCTAAGTCGTAATTTTTTTCCTCCAATAACATCCAGTAAAATCACAGATTCTTTTATTCAAAGACATATATATAGAGTGCCTCAGAATGAAGATACAGTTTATAACTAAATTTTTATGCAAACTTTCAGTTCCACCACTGTTAAGTAATCTAACTCCCATCTTTGAAAATTAATTTTTGCAAAAAATCCAATGATCAACCTATCAGTATCTGTTTTCTCTCTCCCTGCACAGTAAATCCACAAATCCAGACTTGTGTTCCATATATGTAATCTACACTCTGTAGATAGAAGCTCAGGAGTTAAAGGATTCTTTTAATTATTTTGATTTTAAATCTCGCTAAAAGCTCCTCTTAGACATTTTCTAGAATGAATATGGCATTTTCAGATGAAGTTGAAAATTAATATCCTTATGTTTGTGTAAACTATATGTTATGACTCGTTTTCTTCTGTAGATTCTTTTTCCAAATTATTTTTTTAATTTTCTAACAAACTATTTTTATAACTGAACAAATGTTTCATTTGTACACATTACAGACAGAAATTTAAATTATCAGCATTATGAAAATTTTAGCTTTATTGAAGTATTTTGCCTCATTGATGTTTTGTTTGACCTTATTTACTCTGATTTACTTCTAGTGATGTTCAAAATAGATGGAATGTTTCATGACATTTATTTCCCCTTTCTGCCCCTGGATTCAGATCGCAGACTGCACTCCACTTCCTGTTCACACACCAACCTTAAGGAAAAAGGGATGCTCTGGTTCAACTGGTTTTCCACCAAAGGTACACTCAGTCCAGTTATGACATGTTGTGTTCTGAAGGGGGAGAATAGAGAATGGATTTCTTCTGCTTTCTTATTTTTTGTCATATTCACTGTTGGTTTCCCCAAAATTACAAACATAAAAGCTTAGAAAATAAATACATAAATGTAAATAATCACTTTTTAGAAAGGTAGGAGGTATGTGTATAAAGGGTTTTTTTTTCTTTTTGGCCTCCACCTTCTTAAATTCAGTGTCTTTGAAGTGAAGAGTAATGCTTGGAGGGTATATTTTAAGGAGACCGTGACAACTAATTTGAGGCCATTTGTGCAAGAATCTTAGGTTAAAGATAATAAACCACTGAGAAAGAGAAATGGCTATTGAAAAATTCAGGTAAATTTTCATTCTACTTAACATGACTGTGTTTGAAAATTGCATATGGTAGAATATGATTATTTAGCTGCTTATCTTAAGCTCCGACAGTAAAATTCTAGAAATTGGAAAAACTGATATGTCCCTCCTCAAAATATAAACCTTTTGAATAAACCACAAAAGAAAAAAGAGGCTGATGAACCAGAAAAACTAATAAATAAGGAAAAAACATACCTGGTATTAAAAAGACTACAGACTGAATAACCTATTCTAGATGAAGCAAGATTTTAATGCCAGAGAGAACATGAATAAAATAAAGGCAATAAATATGTTCAAAGAGGTAAGAAAGAAAGTATGTTGGTAACATGGGAACAGGATAAGGCACTTACCAAAAAAAAAAAAACTAACATTTTTTTTCCCACAAGGACTTGCATGAAAATATAACTGCTGAAATAAGTAACTATAGATGGCTGTGGCAGCAGAATAAACTAACTGATAACAGAAATGAACATTTAGCAGAAGCTTAGGTGGAAAATATATAAACTATATGACAGAGATAGTGTCAAGATCCATATGGGAGATACCTATATAGATTCATTTCACTATGTGTGTGTGTATAAAGCTATACATAGATCTGTTGCAATCCATGTCAAATTTTCATGGCATTGAATACAGAAAAAGAAAGAACTTTACCAAAATTTGTGTGGAACTCCAAAAGACCCTGCATAGTCAAACCCATCTTGAGAAATAGGAACAAACTTGGAATATCATACTTCCTGGTTTCAAACTATATTACAACCTTATAGTAATCAAAACAGTATATTAGTATTAAAAGTGACACACAAGTCTATAGACCATCATAGAGAATCCCCATAAATTCATATTTTTTTTTACCACACATATGGTCAATTAATTTATGAAAAAGAAATCAGGAATATGCAGTGGGGAAAGAGTAGTCTTTGCAGTAAATGGTGCTGGGAAAATTGGACAGCTAAGTGCAAAAGAGTGAAACTGGATCTCTTCCTTACAGTGACTTAGAATGCATTCAACACATGACTCTAAGACTTAAAACCAAAACCCCTAGAAGAAAACAGAGATAGTAGTAAGTTCATTGACAGCAGTCTTGGCATTGAATTTTTTGATTTGACACCTCAAGCAAAAAACAAGTGCAACAACATCAAACTATAAAGCTTTTGCATGGTAAAGCAAACCATCACTAAGTGAAAATGTGGGTTGCTGAAAGGGAATAAAACGTTTGTAAATCAAATATCTGATAGTGTTTTATATAAATATAGACATGTATACACATATATGTATGTGTAGACACATATATGTATGTGTGTATGTGTATATATATGTATATATAAATAACATCAGCGGCATAAGAATTCACAAACTAGAAAAAAATTAAATTGACGATAAAGCGGCAGAGAAACCGGTATTTTTTCCAAAGGAGATATCCAAATACATGATAATAGGTTTGTGAAAGTGCTTTCCATCAATCTTTCTGAAAGTGCTTTGCATCACCTATCTAGGGAAATGCAAATCGAAACCACAATGAGATATCACCTCACACATGTTAGGATGGTCATCATGGAAAAGACAAGAGCTAGCAAATGCTGGTGAGAATGTAGAGTATAGGCAACCTATGCTAGTGAGAACATAATGCAGCCACTGTGCACAACAGATTGGTTCCTCAAAACCTTAACAGAACGACCACACAGTCCAACATTTCCCTTTGCAATCATATAACCAAGGAAAACAAAGTTGCTGTCAAGATTCCGACCCCCGTGTTCATCGCAGCATTATTTGTGATGACCAGAACATGGGGCAGCCTCATTGTCTGTCAGTGGAGAGATGATTCAAGAGAGTGTAGTATGCATGGTGACATCATAGATGCAACTTGAAGGTACTGTGCTGAGTGAAATGTCAAGTTGTGATGGACAAACACTAGATGATCTCACTTAACGTGTTCAAGCTAAAACATCTGAATTCATAGAAATAAAGAACATTTTGGTGGTTGTCCGAGGTGAGGGGTGCGGACGGGGGACAGTGGGGCCAGGGAAAGGAAGGGGTGGCCAAAGGGAACAAACTTGCAGTTGTGAGAGCAGTAAATTCTGGACAGTAGATCAAGGTGATTATGGTTAGCGAAACTGTATTGTATATTTGAAACCTGCTTAAGACAGTAGACCTTAAACGTTCTTATCACAAGAAAAAAGTAACCACAAGAGGTGGTGGGTGTCAACTAAGTTTGTGGTAATCACTTTGCAATATACACATGTATCAAATCATCATATTATTCACCCCAAATTAATACCGTGTTTCGTGTCAGTAAAGTCAATGAAACTGGAGAAAAATTACTTCTGCAAGGAAGTGCTTCAGCAAGAAGAGATATAAAAACAAGACAGATACAGGAAAAATGGTAAATAGATTTCTTGGAGGACTTTACTGTCATCTGTCAAAGCAAGGCCCCTCCACTCAGTAAATATCAAAGAAAAATGTGTTCACTTAAAACCATTCAGAACTAAATACAAACACAATAGAAGTGAGTGTAAACATCAGTCGACGTGTCTGAGGAGAAACTGTACCAATTGGGTAGCATTTTAGTTACTCCAGTGAAATCCCAGCCAGACGTCCTAAATTGCAAGTTCCTATCCATCACATATTAGTGGTGTGAACTTCAGCAAATTACTTATTTCTCTGTGCTTCCATTTCTTCATTAAAAAATGAAGATTATAATAGTACCCAACTCAGTGGATTCTTTTGAATTTTAAACAAGCTTAATATTTCTTTCCAGAGAAGAGAGCCTGGCGGAATGGTATCATAGAAATTTGTTTAAATGTTGGCAGAGTAAGAAAAGTAAGCACATAAGCACATGTGGATCTTAAGTTAAAGGGAATAAACAGAAGGTTGGCAAATAAAAGGTGAAATTAATCCTGCAAAAGGAAATGCTGTTCATCCATTGCATTGAGGCAGGAAAGGCAAAAGAAAATATGGTAAAACCAGTATCCTAACCTGTGTGGTAAATGGTCCCTAATCTTAGTGACCAAACAGAAGGTCTCTCGTTGGGCACACGGTTTTGTGAGTATGGATCGGTAAAGACTCAAATGGAAGTTCTCACAGGCAGTGGTCTAAAGGTATGTAAAAAGAATGAAAATAAAGAAAATTAGAGGTCACAGATATGTAACATCAATGTAACATGGAGTTTCAGGCTCACAACATCAAGTAGTATGGATGAGTTGGCCGTGGGTGCCCCTCAGTGCTAATATTTGATGGGAGCATCCCAATAGTACCTCCATTAAGACATAATTCTAAAAAATGTTTTAGATGCATCTCCCTGGTGACAGTTGACGAGTATTTTCACGTGTTGTGGCCCTCTGCATGCCTTCTTTGGAAGTGTCTATGTGGGGCTCCTGCCCATTGTTCATTGGCTTGTTTCCTTTTGCTGAATTAAGTTAAGTTCTCTGTAGGTCTTGGATAGCAGCCCCTTGTCAGATGTATGATGCGCAAATACTTTCTCCCACACAGGAGGGTCTCTTTTGGGTTCAATGATAGTTTCTTTCACTAGAAAGAAGCTGTTTATTTTGATGTAATCCCACTTCTTTTTATTATTCTCTTGCTGTTGGAGATGAGCCCATAAAGACACCATTGTCATGGCATGTTGTACCTGTGTGTTCATCAGTGTTTATTGTTTCAGGTCTGAGTCTTGGATCCATCCTGAATTAATTTTTGTTAGTGTGAGATAATTGGTCTAGTGTCACTGGTTTCTAGTTTGCCCACCACACTTTGTCAGACAGCCTTTTCTTTTCCCCAGTGTTATCTCTTGGCTTCTCTGTTGTAGCTTAAGTTCCATATAAGTGTGGATTTATTTCTGGGTTCTCAATTCTATTCCATTAGTAGTTTGAATTGTTCTACATTATTTTAAATTTCATTTCTTTCTTTTTAAAAAATAATTTATTGGCCCTCCTGGTGGCACAGCAGGTTAAAGCACAGCACTAAGACGCTAAAGCCACTTCCGCATGAGTTTGATCCCCACCTGCCCTGGAGGTGACCACAGGGCGCGGCAGACCTCTCCTGACCCACCCGCTGCTCCCCTCAGCAGTGTACTTCATCGATCTGCCTGTTCTGCTCCCCACTCTGTCACTGGTGGCCTCTCGCCACCCCTGAGCCTCTGGCCTGTACCCCAGTTCTGTATGTACAAATAAATAAATCTTTAAAAAAATAATGATAATTTATTATTTTATGTAAAAAACATTTGGGCCCCCCCACCCCCAATCAGGTAACTCCAGGTAGGGTTTCCCCTTGCCCACTGTGCTCCTCTCTCTTTGTCCCTTCCCCTCCTCCATCCCCTCCATCTTTGGATGCTTCAGTTCTGTCATCCGTTTTCAAGAGTTAGCTTTTAGCTTTGTGTTTTTCTGACTGTTAGTTTGGTTTCTCTGTATTCCACATACCAGTGACACCAGCCAATGTTTATCTTTTCCTTCTGACTTATTTCACTTACCATTACCTGTTCCAGCTCCACCCATATTGCTATACATAGCATGAGTTTGTATTTTTGATTGCTGAGTAATATTCCCCTGTGTGTATGTGCCTCATCTTCTTGATCCACTCACTTGTGTTTGGCACTTAGATGTTTCCATAGCCTGGCCCTTGTAAGTAGTGCTGCTATTTTCATAGGTAGTGCAGGTTTTCTTTCGAATTACAGTTTCTTGTATTTGGGGACTAGATACCTAGGAGTAGAATTGCTGGTTTATAAAACAGACCCATTTTTAGTCTTTTGAGACACTGCTTTCCAGAGGGGCTGGGTCAGTCAGCATTTCCACCAGCAATATAAGAGGGCTCCTTTTTCTCTGTACCCCTGCCAGAACTTGTTTCTGGTCATTTCGATATGGGCCATTTTCACTGAGGCGAGTTGACAAGTATTTTTGTAAGGAATTGATTATATTTTATGAAAAATTGTTGTTACATTTTTCATGACTGCAGTCACGTTTTAGTTGCTATTTCAGACATGTGTTGTTACCCTTTAGAAGAAGAGAACAAACTTAGCTTGCACAGTTGATTAATTGTAATAAAGCCTTCAGAACCAATGAGTATAAATTAACCTTCCATCTTTGGAGTTAATGTATTTTGAACAATTGAAAAACTTACTGCTAAAAATTTGTTCCTGATAGTTCCTCAAAAGAGTAAAAATTAATCTATGAGAAACAATGTTGAGCGAAATTTTATATGATGTTAACAAATCAGGTACTTGTATTTTTAATCACAGATATGGAGGCCCATAGTCTTGACCTAACTAATACTTTATGTAGTTCTTGATTCTGTTTAGAAGCATCTTCTATATATGCGCCTAGATTATCAAGCTTTGAAAGATGGCAGTAGCAGACAGATCTGGGCTCACATTTTAACTCTGTTATTAGGTAATTTAATTCATCGATGAGTAATTTACTTAATCTGTCTAGCTATTATTTCTTTCAGCTACACAAGGAAATAACTATCTTTTCAGTGATATTGTGTCCATGGGATGAAGTCTGTGAAGGGCAGGCAAAATGTTTGTGTGTTGGCTGGTATTAGTTCTGCATAGGAGCAATTACAGCGTTAGTGGAAAAAATCATCTGTGTCCTACTTAGGATAGAATCAAATCCCAGTGCTGCTTTGAAACTGAGGGTCCTGAGGAATTTCTAAAATAGTGTTTGAGATTGACCACTGCTCTAGATTTGAGAGGCTTACCCATTTCTCCACTGCTCTGATTCGCCAGTCATTCTGTCTAAGATGGCCTACTTTTCTTCTTTGATTCTTTAAAAATTCTTTTGTGGGGTATAAATAATATATCCCAATGAATACAGGATAGGAATATCCTCTAGTTTTTTGATAAGTTGGTCTCAACTGAAATAAAATACTACTTCTTAAGTTTTTCATCAGTAGTGACATATGATTTGATTATTGGATAAAAATTTCTTATTAGTTTAAATTAGTCACACATATAAAAGAGAAATAACTAATCAAGTTAGCTTGCAAATGTAAAGAAATGTTTTGATTATTCTATAGTAGGCATGCTTCTGAGTACCATGTCTCAATGTTCATGTACCCTCCCAGTGAAGTACATGCTGTTATGGGCACATTATGGAATGAGCCAGTGAGACACAGAGGAACTGAGTAATTTGCTCATAAGTTTGCAGAGCAGAGTGAAAGAATGATTATTATAACTTATTACTAAAACTTGCTAAGAGTTGATTTAGACAGGAAAGGAATATTCCTGATCTCCCAAGTTTACATGGATTTACAGCCATGTAGATCAGACAAGACTTACCACTTTTAGACTGCCGTCTGGCTGGAAATACGACATGTGTTTCTGTTTGCTCAAGCATAGCACTGCCTGTTACCGTGGAAGGGAACAGGTTTGTGAAGTGTATTAAATCATTTACTGTAAGAACAAGAATTGTAAGTTACTTATTATTCATTTTTAAGAAAGTATAAAAAGGATATTAAATTTACTTATTTGTATAGATGCAGAATTACTCTCAGCTCTTTGCTTGAAAATTACCTTTAATCCTGAAGTTAAAATTTGCAATAAAAAAAGAAAAAATATTCATGGAGATCCAACTAAAAGTAGAGTTAAAATCTGAGCACAGATCTGTCTGATTCTGCCATCTCCCAAAGTTTAATAATTTTGATATTTTACAGTTTTTCACCTGGACATCAAGAGCGACTCTTTAGCTTCTATTTTTTAGCAATAATGTAACTTAGTATATCATTTAAATGTTTAAATAGGATATTTGAAATATTTAAAGAGACTAATAGAAAAATGTGGTATGAAATGCAAACCATTCAGTTTGCTCTTATTTAGGAAATAGTCTGAAAGCTGGAAGCTGGTGTAAGCTCAGACTCACATTATGGAAATCCTTTCAGTAATATGTATGTTTGTACCCCTTTGTTTTGCAGCGCAAGACTCATCAGTTTTTTGTCAAATCTTTTACTACTCCTACCAAGTGTCACCAGTGTACATCTTTGATGGTGGGTTTGATAAGACAGGGATGCGCCTGTGAAGGTAAGAGCAGAATGGCAAGAAAATGGCTTTAGAGCCCTAGAATTTACCATCTAAGTTGTAATCAGCTGAATATATCTGAATGTTTATTTTACTTACTATTTCATTTCTTTGGATAGAAGGAACAGAGCGCTTTAAAAGTTGAACTTTAAAAGTATCGCTTTAAAAGTATCAGAGAAACTCCACAGATGATCCCTAGAAACATTTTCTACGGGAGAGAGATTTATATATATTTCATTCATCCTAGTTTCATTATTCAGGTGAATTTGTGGCCTGCGAAACCATTAGCCTATGTGAAAGACGAGATACGAAAGTTATCCATGAATCTGTTCATTTATTCTTGTCTTTCATTAGAGAAATACTAATTTATTAGAGAAATTAGTATAGGAAATCATGGAAATAATGCAGTGTGATATTTTTCCAGAAAATTAAATGTCCGTCCCTCCAAAGACATTTTATTCCTGGTATTAATAGCAGAGGTTTTTCCTGGGCCTCCCTCGTGGCTGGGGTTAAGTCTCAGCACTACCACTTCAATGGCTTGAGTTCAATCCCTGGCCAGGGAGTGACCGTGTGGCACAGCAGACCTCTCCTGTCTCCCCGCTGCTCCTCTCAGCAGTGTGTTTCAGTAGATCTGACTGTTGCTCCCCACTCTGTCACTGGTGAATCTTCCCACACTTCTGACCTAAACTCCCGTTCTTCTATGCAAAAGAAAAAAAATAGCAAATGTTTTTCCGTTCATACATTAATTCTTTCTGTCCTGTGTTTTGGACACTGGAGGTGCATTTCTGGGCAGAGACAAAGAAAAGCCTGCCCTCATGTAGCTCACATTCTGAGAGATGAGAGATCAGGATTCCTTTGAACAGAAAACAAAATATATTTCTTTTTCCTAAGACATCAGAGATAAAACGATTTTAAATCATCATGGGCGGTATTATGTCTTTTAGAAATACAGTTTTTTGTGAAATCAGGTTTACTACTATATAACAATGCCTCATATATGATTTACTAGTATATTTTATTTAAAAGATACAAAAGTAATTGCTATTTCAAATTCTAATATTAGTTCCCATTTCTTAGCTCTTAGGGTTAGAAGGGATCGTGAAGAGAGGTCATTCCCTGAGGGGCATGTGCCCCTCTTACATGTTAGCTAGCCTGTATTTGAATGCTTGGAATAAGGGGAAATGAATACCATCTTCTAGCAGTGTGTTCTGTGTAGGTTAACTGTCACCACCAAAATGGGAGCTCTAGATTGCATGGTCTTAGCTAGCCCGTTAGTACACGATTAAGGCTGAAGAGGAGAGATTTGGGAGTTCAAGTGTATGACATAGTGACAGTGGGTGACATTATCCAGAAAAGTACATGTAGAGTGAAGATAAAACGTGTGAGGACTGAGCCCTTAGCAAACATAGTTAGGGTAGATAAAAAAGTAAAGGTAGCAAAGAAGTCTAAAATGAAATCCCCTAAATCATTGATAGGAATGGGTGTCTAATGTCACAGGAGAGAATAGAATATTTTTAAAGCCTTTTGTGATCTCAGAACTTAGTACTTATAAATGTTTTAAAGTTATAATAAGAAAGAATCCAGACACTACTTGACCTTAGGCCCCTAAAACAGGATATTTTGCAATCTCCCCAGACTCTGGCCTTCTAAAGCCCACTCTGTAAAGCTATGGAGACGCATTAGAAAGTGCTCAGGCTGTCAGGTTTTACAATAACAACTTTACAGCCTCTGAAGGTTGTCATCATTTTCTCTCTGGTTGGTAGAAATTAGATCCAGTGTAAGATTATTATTTTGCTTTTCCCCTGCCCTTTGGAGGTGGGAGTTTTGCTTGTCAAACAAATTATAACATATCCTCTTAGAGGCAAGAGATGTCTCACAGATGTTTGTCTAGTCTTCTGCAGTCACTACTAGACCATCTTGCTCTGTTGGCTTCATGGATTTATTAGTGATGTGCATAACTCATTGCCCTGTGCATAGCCTCACAGTGATAGACCTTCAGCTCTCATGTATTCTCCAGGATACACCCTTAGAATAGTTGTTTAAATAGATACTTTAAGTCTATAACTGCTCCCAGTAATTTCATTTTAAATATTTTAATCTTTAGTTCTTATCCCACCAAGTCTCAGTGTAATTTAGGAGTTTATTTTCATTTATCATTTTGTCTTCAGATCGCAAACTCAATATGTAGGCATCAGATGGCAATGCCGTGGCGGTATTGTTAACAGAGCGCTACCTGGATGCCGGCCATGTCCCTCACGGGCTCAGTGACCCAAGGCACATCGGATGAAATGGGGACAATTGTACCTCTTTACTTTGTCACAGGATAATTGAAAGCACTCAATAGCTCCTGAACTTACCATTATTTGTACCTCTTTAATATAACGTTTTCCAGAGACTGCAAAAACAGCAGATAGTTTAATGTTCGTTAGTGATGCTTGAAGGGAAATTTCAGGGCAGATAACAATTTGCAGTGAAATGAGTGAACTCCAGAAATTCCTGGTAACATTCAGGAATTCAAAGTCTAAATCAACCATTTCATCCCTACAGTTAGATTTTTCTTTTTAACTTCTTTGCCTCTCATTTTGATCATGAAGCTAACACATTGCAGTAAAAAAATGTAATTTTAAAAACTCACTATTTCTCATGGAAATTCTTATTGGTAAGCAAATAATTAGTTCCTACATGACAAAACAAGTTTTGAAAAAAAGTCAGAGAGAAGCATTCATCTAACGTAGCGCTTTGCGTAGAATGAATGTTCTGTGTATTTTAATTTCGTAAAAATGAATTTTTATTGAATATTATGTCTTTTTTTCCCTCCAAAAGCATGCGGCTTCTCGTGCCATATAACTTGTGTAAACAAAGCTCCCACTGCTTGTCCAGTTCCTCCTGAACAGACAAAAGGCCCCCTGGGCATAGACCCGCAGAAAGGAATAGGAACCGCTTACGAAGGCCACGTTAGGGTGAGTATGCGTGGGCTGCGTTTAGATTAGTATTTTAAAACTTACGAAGTCTAGCCACCTTACACAGATGGCGACAGAAAATTAAGGGAATAAATGCATTTAATGATTTTATTTCATGTAATGGTTTGAAAACAAAAACTTACCCTTTGCTTAGAAGTAAATTTCAGAATGTCTCAAAATTGTCTTCACTCTCCTTATCTTGTAAGAAAAGATGTTGAAATCACCATAAAGGATCTTTGGCTCTTGTCTTCCTAAGGAAGTAGTTTACATTTATGAAGTAGGGGATATCGTCAGGACATAATCTTATTTACAATTTTGAATGATACTTAAAGTATAAGTTGCTTGTCACCTTTCTACTAAATTTGACATTTATGTTGCTTAGGGAAAGTATTATTTTAATGAATTCCTAGTGAAAGCTAAAATGGTACCATTTTAGAGATTTTCATGCTAAAATGGCATTCGGTGATTTCATCTTTTCATGTTGCTAATGACATTAATGATAGTTTATTGCTGCTTTGCCAACTACAGTGACAATTTTGTCTTCATTTTCACCTTGCAATTACCAAGTAATGGAAGGGACTCTGACTGACATGTTAATTTGAATTGTTTTTGTTTGCCTGTCTGAAACAAAACTAAGATCCCGAAGCCCGCAGGGGTGAAGAAGGGGTGGCAGCGATCCTTGGCAGTCGTTTGCGACTTCAAGCTCTTTCTGTATGACATTGCTGAAGGCAGAGCGTCGCAGCCCAGCGTCGTGATCAGTCAGGTGATTGACATGAGGTAAGCTTGTACAGGGACCTGTATCTCTGCAGCACAGGAATAAAACATGTTGGTTTTTCTTCAGTTCTCTTGTTGAAATCTAACTTCATGTTACTGTCCTAATGCTGTTACGTAAGATGGTTGACAATAGGACATAGGGTGTAGTGAGAGGACACGTTGGTGTGTGTTGAGTTTGTGGGAGCTAGGGGTCAATGAAAAGAAGCAAATTGCATCTAAAAGCCTAGGGTTAAGACTGCTGGGATAATGAAGGCCTGTTGTGTGTTACTTACCCTCAGGTCTTAGAGCATAATTCCAGTAAGAGCAGAGGAAACAAAAACCTCACAAGCAGGCCGCCCCTGAAATACGTAGTGAATGTGTAAACATTTGAGTAACTTTTCAGAATGTTTCTGGTCCATTCTTCACACACTCCCTCCTCTGGGACCACTCTCCTTTCCCTCTTCTGTAGGCCCAGACCCTCCCTGAGTGATCTCATGTACTCCCTTAGCTTCAGCTTCCCTGTCTGCTGGTGACTTGCAGACACATAGCTCCAATCCAGCTCTTTCTCCACTGTTCAAAACTAGGACTTACAGTTATTTCTCACACTGGCAGTCAAAACATCTTCCCCCAGAAATAAAGGTACGATAGGATGAAAAACAAGAAATAGTAGCATAGTGAAAAAGAAATAGTAGCATAAAAATCAAACAGAGCCTGCTGTAAGAGTTTCGATAGAGAAAAATATTGGGGGTAGGGGAGCCCAAGACTAAGGGGTCAGGCTTGCAAGACCAAGAGAATGACGTACCAGCAACCAAGTCAAGCAGTCACAAGGAAGGAATCATGTGAAAGAAGTCTGTCACAGGTGTTGGAGGGACAGCAGCTCAGATGACCTGTGTGGAGAGCTCTTGGTGTGTTTAAGGGGAGGGAGGAGGGCCCAGTCTGCCGGAGTCCTAGACACTGCCCTCTGCAGGTGTCAGCTCTTCCTGCACACTTACTAGCCTTGGGGCTGCGGTCACCAGCAATCATTTCTCTCAGTTACTCTTGATAAGTTAATGTTGGGCCCTACCAATTATAATGAGGGAAAAGCCAAATTCCCTGTGTAATTAAGTTTTGAGGATCAGGTCATATGTGTATTTGGAAACACATCCAAAACTACACACACAGGCCCACATACGCTGACTTCTGACCTTTCCCTGCAGGGATGAAGACTTTTCTGTGAGTTCAGTCCTGGCTTCTGATGTCATACATGCAAGTCGGAAGGATATACCCTGTATATTCAGAGTAAGTGTGCACTTTGTCTCTCTATATAAATCATAGACTTACTGAGAATAGGTTTCTTGATGTATCCATGTCACACAACACTTCACTCTGTAGGTGATTGGTGCTGAGTAGGTATTTAATTCGCAGAAGACCTATGGAAAATGTGAATGATGGTTTCTGAAATAGGTTTTCTTTTGGTTAATATATTTGAGTCATATCAGTTTTCAAATAAATACTGCCACGTGGAAAAATTGAATGTGAGGTTTCTCAGCATAGTAGCTTAAAGCAATAGTGATTTCTTTTTTACCATTCTGTGGGGCAGCTGTACACTTCTTTTGACATTGACCAGGGTCACTCCTGTGGCTCATTTCAACTCAATGGATCTGGAATCGCCAAACGACCTTACTCTCACATCCCGGGCCTTGGTGCTGGGGGTTCGCCAGGTGATCTTTGCTCTTTCTGTGGTGATTGAATAGTCTGGCTGAGCTTTCCATGGCTGACTTCCAAGAGAGCAAAAGAAACTGCCCAGCCTTTTAAGGACTCCGTCCAAAACAGGCGTAATAACACTCTGTATTTATTCTGTTGGTTGAAGCGAGTCATGAGGGTAGCAGAGGCCTGAGGGGCAGGGATGGACTCCATGTCTTGATAAGAAGACCGGAAATCCATAGGACAGTTGTTGGTCACCACCTTCGGAAGCTGTCTGCCATAGTGCGCTCACAAATTGGTGAACTGAAACAGTAAAGGGAAAAAGAAAAAGGCAGGAAGAAAAGGAAGAGGGAGAAAGTATAGGGGGGCAGGAGGTAGGGACTCCCTGCCCAGCAGTGTGCTGGGCGCTTGTCTGTGCCGGCTCCGACAAGGCTCAGGCAAACTCAGTTCCAGGTCGGGGACAGTTTATTCGGCCCCCAGCCACCACGGGAGCCCGCACAAGTACACAGTCTGCTGCTTGTTCTCACCGTCGGGTTCTGTTGTCACTGCTGCTTAAATTAGCTTTGACAAGAGATTCCTATAGGTGTAGTTAAAATCTGTCCTGATTGTGCAGTTTATATAATAATCTCATTTAAATATTGATTCAAGTATTCTGATTTTCTGTAAGATAATGGGAGTTATTGTCCTGAAGTAAGGGGAAGGGAGCTGTTAACACTTAGGACATTTTAAAACAAGTTGAAAATCAGAGTGGTGAGGTGTTTCCACACCTGAACATAGGGTCTGGTCTAGCCATGTGGCCTTGGGTAGTTAATTTCTCTGCATCATAGTTTTCTCACATATAAAATCAGGATGTTATAACAATACTGTCTCATGAAGGTACTGAGGAGGCTAAGCAAGTTAATGCCTGTAAGCACTTTGGTTAGTGTCCAGGGCTCTGAATTATTCAAGAAATGACATTTGCTGCTGCGACGTGAGCATCGATGCGTGTTTCAGAGGCGGTATTCTGGCAGTTAGTAGCAAAGAAAGTAGAAGTCATACTAAGATACAGTGGTAGTTGCTGTCTTTGTGGTTCTAATGCTGAAAACAGTCACTCTTCTGAATAGCTAGTATTGTCTAGTGAATGCTCATTTGTTGGCTAGCACTGAGCTAGCACAAGTCTGAAACTGACACCGACTGTCTGTTTCTCACATTGCGGGTACCGATTCCCTTTCCCAGGTCACATCTTCGCAGCTCTCGGCGTCGAGCAGCAAGTGCTCCATCCTGATGCTGGCAGACAGTGAGAATGAGAAGAGCAAGTGGGTAGGAGTGCTGAGTGAGCTGCACAAGATCCTGAGGAAAAACAAGTTCAGAGACCGCTCAGTCTATGTTCCCAAAGAGGCTTACGACAGTTCCCTGCCCCTCATTAAGACCACCCAGGCAGCTGCCATCATAGGTACGGATCTGTAACCGCTCCCACGGTACCCCAAGTGTTCGCTGATGTCCCTCATCAGCAGGGCGAGCTTCCACCCAGGAACCCCCGTGCCCATCCTGCAGGCATCGTCACATGTGCGTCCCCCGTGGGGGTCGGGTGAAGGAGATTGCAGAGCTCCATTTTTAAGTAAAGGAGCACACACTTTTCTGATGACTTCTGAGAAAGCAAATCTACTAATGAGTAGTCTATTTACAGACCTACTTTCCGCTTGTAGGACTTAGAATAGGTTGTTTCATTGCTTAAAGTGTGAGTTTCATGTGTAAATCTATGTACTGCTGCCCCCCCGGGCTGTTGGGAGGCTCAGACACCTGGGACGGACACAGCCCTGAGTGCGGGACGGCAGCTCCTGGCGTGCGGACCAGACTCAGCCTGCGCTTCTGCGTGCTTGCAGCCATCTGCCATGCTCCTTAGGAGGAGCGATGACAGGTCCCAGATGCCCCCGCCCACAGCAAGCGAAAGAACTGCACCGAGCATACTGACAAATTTGGTTTTTCATTGTTTCACCTTCTGTTGGAAAAAGGCTTACTTCCTTTTTCAAGTGTTGTGGAAATTACTTTCTACTGACTGTTCTGCGGAAGATGACCTCAGACATTTGCCACTATAATCTGCCAGGAAGCTTGATAGTATGAGTAGTCGTTTTTAAATTATTCTTCTATTTAATGCAGGGTTTTGTGCCACATTTCTTTATCTTTGTTGTTTGAGCTTGACATAGTTTTTTACTTACTAAAAGTCTTTCATATTTATGTTTTCTGTAGATCATGAGAGGATAGCTTTGGGGAATGAAGAAGGACTGTTTGTGGTGCATGTCACGAAAGATGGTAAGAGAAAGTTTAGTTGTTCTGATTACTCTAAACCATGTGTTAGGAAATTCAAAATCTAATTCTGAATTCTGAAGAGCAGGACTTTTTTTTCATCCTACCCTGGTGATTTTATAAGTCAAGGGTACTTTTAACATTTCTGTATAATCCTCCTGAATTCTTTCTTACCTGCCTGAATTGAACCTTCCGTTGTTTTAAAGACCTACAAGAGGAAACAGCTAGACAAATGTGTTTGTTACTGGGTTTTTCCACACGTTAATACAATAATATTTTTCCTAGGAAAAATAATTATTTTTTATTTAAATAATTAAATAAAAAGGAATCAATTTAATTTAATATTGTTGAATATACTGTTCTAAATTGTTTATTTTTATCAAGCAGGCTCTTTTTTTTTAACAATAGTTTATTTTCCCATCATTTTGTGCCTTTTCCCATCTCAGTCATACTCCCCGTGGGCTTCCCACCACCAGCTCACCCTGTGCCACCACCACAGTCCAGGACACTTCCCTTCCCCACTGTTTTTGATCCCATTCTCCGCTCCACCCCCATATCAAGCAGGTTCTTTAGAAAACAAATGAATTTAAACTGGATTAGTTTTTAACCCATAAAAATACCATTAAACAAGTGAATTAATCACTTGTTTGTTTTTTTTTAAATGGAAACCCTGTGGTGGTGATGTCTAGAATTTAGTGCCATGCCATGCTTAAATGTGGCATGCTTTACACATAAAACTCTTGCCTTGATTTCCAGAAATCTCAGTGCTGAATTTGGTACCTTACTACACATGGGTTAAATTATCTTACAATAGATGTGCTTATCTTCCTCTATATATGTGTTTGTGCTCTCTTATTCTCCTATAAAGCATTACTTTGTACATAATAGATTATTATTTCTTTGCATAGAAATTATTCGAGTTGGTGACAATAAGAAGATTCATCAGATTGAACTCATCCCAAATGACCAGCTTGTGGCTGTGATCTCAGGACGAAATCGTCATGTGCGACTCTTTCCGATGTCCGCTTTGGATGGGCGAGAGACTGACTTTTATAAGCTGGCAGAAACTAAAGGGTGTCAAACCATAACTTCTGGAAAAGTGCACCATGGAGCTCTGACCTGTTTGTGTGTGGCCATGAAAAGGCAGGTCCTCTGTTACGAACTATTTCAGAGCAAGACCCGTCACAGAAAATTTAAGGAAATTCAAGTCCCGTATAATGTCCAGTGGATGGCAATCTTCAGTGAGCAGCTCTGTGTGGGGTTCCAGTCAGGGTTTCTGAGGTACCCTCTGAGTGGAGAAGGAAGCCCGTACAGCATGCTCCATTCGAATGACCACACCCTCTCGTTTATCGCACATCAGCCGATGGACGCCATCTGCGCCGTCGAGATCTCCAGTAAAGAGTACCTGCTGTGTTTTAGCAGCATCGGGGTCTACACTGACTGCCAGGGCCGGCGATCCAGACAGCAGGAGCTGACGTGGCCAGCAAACCCTTCCTCCTGTTGTAAGCTGCTCTTCCCTTTGGCTGTCCTGCCTTTTACTTCCGTTTCATCTCCTGCATGTGTGGCTGTCCGTGACGGACTCCGTTTCAAAGTCTGAATGGCTTTTCTCAGCACTTGTTACACTGTGCATGATAAAGTGACCATATGTGCTCAACCACAGCTTGTCTTCCTAAGGAAGGGTGGGGTTTTTAACCTGTGCTCTTGGATTTGAAATGACCCCGAGTGGTTCTCTTCGTGATGCCCCCAAAATATAGTGCTCGTGAGGGCTCATGGCTCACAAGATTTACTCCAGGAGAAGTAGTGACTAAGTGAGTTATTTCACTGTTGTGCAGAGATACGATGCCGCTTCTACAGAAATACTGTTTTACATTTTTGTATGACTAGCTAGACCTTTTAATTGCATATGACACTCTTCCAAGAAATACGGATACATTAGCACAATTGAATACTAGTGAAATGCCATGTCACCGGGAGCTAGACAGGCAGCCATGCCCTCACAGAGCAGAGAGGGGTGGAGGGGTGCGAGGCGTGAGCACAGGTGCAGTGACGGCAGAACCAGAGGCCCGCAGGGCCCGGTTGGACTGCCTCGTCAGGACCGTGGTCGGTAGTGTCAGCGCCTTGAACACGCTGGACTTCTGTAGGGAAGCAGACACGAGAACTAGGGGTGGCTGAATATGATAAACACAGAAAATAGAGCAGCGTCCCCCAGAGAGACTAGAGAAGGGAGAATTCAGAACCCAGGATGAAGACTGGGGCAAGAGAAATGCAACTTCCCCCACCGTGACAACACAGAGGGAGTGATGGGTGCGTCCAGTTGAGTTTGGGGTGCAGTGGAAGAAAGGTGAGGAGAGCTGTACATACTTGCTACAGAAAAGCCAGACTATCTGGATAGAAAGAAACAAAGGAAAAATTCTCGTCACCTCTGACTTGTTGATTTCTTTTTCTTCTGCGATATCTTCTTGATATCTAGAAGGACTGCTGTTTCATAACCTAGTCAAGTAATAATTCAAAACATTGGCTCTGCTGTGGAGTAAGAATCGGACATCTGGGCATCTCTGCCAACTTTGTCGTGTTGTTTAGTAAATGGTCTTGTTTCTCTTCGCTCATGTCATCATTCTGGCTGCTCCTCCTTCTGACAAGTGTGCTGAGGGTCTGTGCTTCTCCGCGGGTAGATTCGACTGTGACTGGGCCTCTTGCCTAAAGAGCTCTCTGTTTTGTAACTTTGCTTCATTACCAGTAATAGGAACTTAATTACTTCAGAAATCAGACACCGTAAAATGTCGTGAAGTTGCTTTATAGAGCTAGTGTTGGCACATGGTTAGTAGTCTGTGATATCCCCACGATTAGCAGAATCCCGCAGTGTTATGGCGACGGCGTCTGGCCAGGGTACGTAACCCTTCCCGTATGAGGTGTGTTCTGTTTACCCCACAGTTAGGTTGCTGTGGCTTCTGTGTGACCGTGATGGGGTGGTGCACTGCTCTGCAGTGGCAGTGCAGTGCTATGAAGGGCCCGGGGCTCGGCAGTTGCCAGTCATCAGCGCTCTCCCCTCCCTCCTTTCCAGGCTATAATGCTCCGTACCTCTCCGTGTATAGTGAGAATGCAGTTGACATCTTCGATGTGAACTCCATGGAATGGATTCAGACTCTTCCACTCAAGAAGGTAACAAAAATAGCTAAGCAATTAGCTATTTTTTACAAGTTTGCTATGTTCTGGCATATGTAATTGGCAATTTGGAGCTTAGCTAAGAATGAAAGATAAAATCATAAATCAAGCTGTTAGACTTTTGGTTGGTTGTGATCATGGTAAAAAATGTAGAGAAACAGAGGGAAAAAATTACAGTGCTGTCCATCCATGCTAATGTTATAATCCATGGTACCTCAACACAGCATTTTAATCAGGTACAACCACAGGCATTTAATAAGTAATGATGGTTATTATATCCGCATAAGTGTGACCATCATTACATTGAACAACTTGAATGCCCTCTGCCACCTCAGCTGTCAGTGCTGCTTTCCGCTGTAGTGTAGGAACATGTCCTTTCGGCTATGACTGTATTCCACATAATGGTGTGTGATTTTTAATCCTGTGGGGACAGATTTCTCAGGCTAGAATACTGATGAAAGCTAGAACCAGAACTGTGTTGGACATCTCGTGATTTAAAAAAATAATGGCTTCACATATTTTGTAATAAAATATAATTTCGTTAATATTTTTCTATATTAACAAGAGAATTTGTGTATATAGAGAACAGCTACTTTGGAAAAGTAAAAAGCAAGCCTTCCGTTTAGGTACTGTGTGGTATATGTGCCATGTATTGTTAATTGAGGGCAGGGCTTACATATGAATTATTCATAATTCATGTTTTCTCTTCTGTGAAATTACTGTTCAGATTTTTGCTCCTTTTTTCAGCTGATCATTTTCATTGTGAGTTTTTAAGTGCTGTCTATATTGTACAGAACATATTAGTAGTGGCTGTGGTGATTCTTTTCCCTCTTCTGTGCCAGAGCCATTTTTACAGTGCACTTTACTGAACTTATTGTTATAAAAGACTGTTGGGCTGAAAATTTATGGTTACAGCTTTCAATGTAATTAAGTGTATTGTTCTTTTATAAGTTTATCCTCTTCCTTTTGGTTAAAAAGTTCCTATCTCAAAGTCATAAAGATGCAGCCTTTATTTCTTTCAAAAGTTTGGAAGTCTTGTCTGTTACATTTATTCTTTAACACATTTAGAGTCGATGTTGTGCGTGATGAGGAGTTAGGGTTCAGTTGCCTCTGTTCCGGGTAGAAGGCCAGTGCTCCGTCACCCGTCCTGACGGCCCGCCTGCCTCAGTGACGTGGAGCGTCACCTCTGTGGTGCCAGCCAGTAAGAGCGAATCAGTCGAGTTTGATCAAATGAATTAAATACGTTTCAGAAAATTGGTGTGTTGGCATCTCAGAATAATCATTTCGTTACTATTGGCTTCAAAAGTCAAACTTTAGGTCAAAATGTGTTTCTGTGTTTTTTTTTTTTTTAAATCCAGAATGTTCTCCCTTTAAAATGTTGTCATGACAGTTTGCTGATACTAGATCATTTTGTACCTTTCCAGTGAGAATGAATGTTGATTTTTGTTGATTTCCTGAGAGAGCTGTGTTCTGGAAAGGCTGGAGCGTGAGGGCCTTCAAGCATGGGCTTTATGTGCCAGATTTTTTGTTTTAATTTTTGAAGGTTTTGTTGAAATAACGAATCTTATTTCTTTAATTTTAGGTCCGACCCTTAAACAGTGAAGGATCATTAAATCTTTTAGGGCTGGAGACAATTCGATTAATATATTTCAAAAACAAGATGGCAGGTGAGACGATACTCCTTAGCGGGTGGCCTCAGAGGAAGTGCACTCCAGACCGCCTGCCTGCGGGGGCGCGGGGCTCCCTGAGGCCGGCTGGGCCCGTGTCGGCTCTCAGGCTGTCAGACCAGCTGCTGACTGGCAGGCCGCTGTGTCAGCTTGCGGAGTGAGTAGGGAGAGTGTAGCCCAGTGTGTCTTCGGGGTGTTTGATGCTGTCTGACCTAAGCAGACGTCATCGTACCAAGATTATGAAAGCCGACGCCATCGCACAGGGCTCAGAACCTCTGAAATGCTGAGGTGCGCTGCACAGAGGCCGCTAGGTCCGGCAGTTCAGTGTCCTCTTCCCATTGACCGTAAGCAGCAAGGCTCTTCTTTAGGAGAAGCTGGTGGAGCCAGTTTCTCATTGCTCTGCATCATGCAGCTTGAGGAGATGTGTGAGCAAGGTTAATTGTTACTTACACGAGTAGCCCACTGCATATGCCTGGCCCTGTGCAGGTCAGCGGAGGCCTTTAGCGCTAGTCTCGGGCCCTGGTTCCTGGGAGACAGAGTAGAAGGTGCAGCGCACTGGACACTCCCGAGGCCGGGACACACGTGCACCTGCATAGTTCTTTATTCTGCTGGTAAACGTGTGCCATGGTCGTTCCTAATCAGACAGAAGCGGAGCTGCTGCCCCTGAGCCGTGCCGCATTTCAGAGTGGATCTGTTCACCCACAGCCCACTGAAAGTGGGATCACAGCCCTCGGCGTCAGGAGCCAGAACTGCGCTGGGGACAGCGGACCGGCGTTCGCACTGTCTTGGCGGCCGGTGGGCAAAGGCAGCTTAGCACTTCAGGGACTGACATGGCCCCTTGTGTTTCTGTGACAGAAGGGGATGAGCTGGTCGTTCCGGAGACATCCGACAACAGTCGGAAGCAGATGGTCCGAAACGTCACCAACAAGCGCCGGTACTCCTTCCGCGTCCCCGAGGAGGAGAGGATGCAGCAGCGCAGGTGGGCGGGCGGCTCAGCTTCTCGCTCGGCCTCCGGGCGCTTTGGTGACAGCGGGGTACTTGATTTGAAAGGGAAATTTATCTCGGAAACCTCTTGTTCCTCCAGGTGTGAAAACCTGTAAGTGGGCCGTCCCTGGTGGCGCAGCACTGCAAACTGGCCGCAGCCGCTCAGGGCACGTCCGACCCGGCCAGGGAGGGGCCCCCAGGGCGGGCAGGCCCCTCCTGGCCCGCCCGCTGCCCCCTCAGCGTGGGCTTCCTCCATCGGCCTGTCCTGCTCCCCGCTCTGTTTCTGGTGAAGCCTCTCGCCACCCCTGAGCCTCTGGCCTGTGCCCCCGTTCTGTGTGCGTAAAAAAACAAAAACAAAAAACTGTAAATGAATGCACTTCTCAGTACAATTTTTAATATCCTACAAATTGTGATATTCAGGATGGCTATAAATTTTACAATGTGAGCCTTTTTCTATAATATAAATACAGAATGTATCTTTCCATAGAGTAAACTTATGCATGTTTAAGAACTTCAGATTAACTGTTCTCTTGAAGAGTAAATAGATTTGTAATATTTCCAGTTACGTGTAAAAACATTTTTTTTAAAGGTTTATTTGTGCATACAGAACTGGGGGACAGGCCAGAGGCTCAGGGGCGGCGAGAGGCTTCACCAGGGACAGAGCGGGGAGCAGAACGGGCAGATCGACGAAGTCCACTGCTGAGGGGAGCAGCGGGCGGGTCAGGAGAGGTCTGCCGCGCCCTGTGGTCACCTCCGGGGCAGGCGGGGATCGAACTCATGCGCAAGTGGCTTTAGCTTCTCAGTGCTGAGCTTTAACGCGCTGCGCCACCAGGGAGGGCCCGTAAAAACATTTTTAAGGTGTTTTTAATTATTTTAAAGGATATGCCTATGATGATCAGAATTATTTCTCAAATAGAAGTTCTACCTCTAAGTACAATTTAAAACAAAATCTATTCTTTCAAAGATTTTTAATTGAATCTATTGTATCCTACAGTGAATAACATGAATTCACAGTTTTATTTTTATGGAAAATTATGCTTAATTTTTTCCTAAAGTTATCTAGATTGATCATAGGGAAAATTCCTAAACAGGTGTTTTATTTTACAGAGAGATGCTTCGAGATCCAGAAATGAGAAATAAGTTAATTTCTAACCCAACTAATTTTAACCACATAGCACACATGGGTCCAGGAGATGGAATACAGATCCTCAAAGACCTGCCCATGGTAAGAGAAAGCGTGGGCCTGAGTGCGCGGCTGCCCTGGACGCGGGGCGGGAGGGAGGAGTCCGCGTGCGCGTCGGGGCCTGTGGGCGGCCCAGGCCCACGGGGGGCGGAGGCGCGTGTCCCCGGCCCCGTGGGTCTCTGATGTGTGGTGGCAGCGCCCGCTTAGAAGAGCAGAAAATGTGCACGTCGGAAACCAAACAAGTCCGTATTTAGTTGCATACCCTGCGACCTCTCTCGTGCCTCGATTCACTGTTGTGGGTGGACTAAGCTGCCAGATTTGAGAGGCTCTAACCAGATACAGAGCTTAATTGCCAGATTAGTAAGATTTCCCTGAATTTGAGCAATTCAGTCGATGCAAGCTGCTTGGCCTCCCCCCCCCCCCAACAGAACTACATTTTCTTGGTTCTTAATGTTCATACCTGTTCATACTAAAAAGAGAGATTGGATCTTTTTCCTTTGTCCAGTTACAAACATGTTTGATCGAGCTTCCATTTAAAAAGCACAGTGCAGGACAGCTGTTGGTTGTTGATATGAAAACTGGACTCCTGCACCCCTGATTTTGAGGTGAAGTATGCGACAGAGCCGGCCGGCTGGTTGTGCAGCTCTGTTGATGCTGGGTACCCCGGAGTACTTCCAGCAGACTGGCAAACCCTTACTATGACCCTCCTGAGCAGTCAGAACAGCATCTAGATTTTGCACAGAATCTTAAGCATAATTTCTTTACTAAACCGCCTTGGGAGGTGAGTTGTGAATATTGACCCAAAGCTGTGTCTAAGGGAGTCTTCTAAATGTCCCACGCCAGCTACTCCGCTAAGATGGAAGATACACCACTGACCAAAAAAAAAAAAACAAACAACACGATTCAAAGCTTTGGCTTGATGTAGTCAGGTTTATTTTGTTTTGTTTTAATTAAAAAAGTTAGGTTTTCAAAGGTAGTTCACATTTATTTTTAGGGAGGAACACAACAACAAAAAAATTGCAGACTCACTGAGTCCGAACTCATCATTCTGAACATCCCAGGTCCGGCGACAGGTGCGCCTGCTTGTTCGCGAGCAGATGTCACTTCTGCGCTCATCATTTTCCCACTGCCATCAGGCGCTATTAGGTGGTTTTAGATCACTGACTGCTCATCATTCATCCTTTCAGAGTGGGGATTTTTATTGCTGTGATTGGTAAATATACAAAAAAAAGGCTGTTAAACTGTTGGTGTGTTTTAGAACTACTGTTTTTTCAGCTTTTGCCTGGAAATGAGATTTCAGATTTCTCTCCACCTTTTCCCATTTTGAACATTTACTTAACATCCTCATTCTGGTCTGACTTTATTTTCAGAAGTAAGTGTAATGTCGTCCAAATTGCCTTATGCAAGGTATGTGTCAGGCACGGAGTGCCGTAAGAGAGGACTTGTCAGCTGCGATACACAGTTCCAGTATGAACACGTCTATGGCCCGTGTCCGATTTAGTGTTGTATGTTGTTTTTTTGACTTAGCAAATCGTTGTTCGGCACCTGATGGTGTGTGCAGCATCGTGGAGGGACAGGACAGCGATGTCAGGCTCTCACTTGAGCAGTCAGTGCATCCTCTCTCCCCTTTGCGTCACGTCGGGACGCAAGTGTGCGTGTGGTTTCAGCTCCAAAAAATTACAGAATATTTTTCTATAAATAATATTACTAAATTCCACGTGATTAGAATGTGTTCCTTGAGGTGAAATAATTTTAATAAAATGTTCCTCTGTTTAAGTGCTCTTCTGCCATCCGGGGGAAACTAATGTTCCGGAATTCTTTCAGACCTTTGTACCCTGAAAGAACACAGCAAAGCTAAATGTCAGATTTCAAATATTTTAAGAACTTTTAAGGTATCACTTCTTATTCTGCCTTTTTCGCTCCATCACATGAGGAAACACTGAAGTAAAATCAAAAGACCTGTGTCTCTGAAAGCCGTGTTTCTACCTACTGGATGACCATAGCAAATGAGAATGATTTTATAACATGAATGATCTTTTTACGAATCCGTTATTTAGTAAGTGGCAAGAGGATTATAGAATTTAGCTTTCTACGATCTGAAAGTATTTCCGTGAGGATGCAGTTCGACGTGAGATACTTTGCGTCCTGCGTGTGTGTTTCGGGAATGTCACAAGTCACGAGCGCGTCGTGTCCGTCGCCTCACACCTCTTCTCTCTGTTTTGATAGCCGGCCTTCCCTTATCCATCCCCTCACCATCACTCCGGTCTGATCTCCTCTCCGATCAACTTTGAGCACATCTATCACATGACTGTTAATTCTGCTGAAAATTTTCTCTCTCCTGACCCCATAAACCCTGAGTACTCCCCGACTCTTCGTTCTGCCCCCGGCACACCACGCTTTGTGACTCTCAGGGTACGGACAGCCGAGTCAGGTGCCGACTTCCACTAACCACGCCCAGCTCTGTGCCTGGCTTCTTGAGTAACACCGCTGAGGGGATGAGTTTTGTGAGCGTTTTCCTTTGGCCGACTTCCCTTCTGCCAGATTTCTGTTCCACCCTTTCCTCTTCTTTGTTCAATTTCTATTTTGTTTTTTCTTTGGAGAAAAAGATGAAGACTGAGGAGAATTTCAATTTTATGTTTAAAACAGTATTGAGGTTTAATAAAATACATTTCCCACTGATATTTTCCATTGCAGAAAATATTATTTAAAAAAAAAAAAAAAGACTTTGACATGTTCTTTATTCCATGAAACAAAAAAGGGATCCCAGCAATTGATTACTTTTTGTAGCTCACTACCTTTGAGAGTTCAATCCCTTTTGAAAAATTTAGAAATCTCCAAGATAAAAGGTCTAGTCGTTAGGTACAGGGAAAATTATAAGAAGATAGTCGTGCTAAGCTTTGGGTTGTTTAGATGCTTTAATTCCAACGAGGTTCCCGGATGAGAACGCTAAAGCGCAAAAATCCCAGCTACGCTGCATCCCAGAGACCACGGCTTCGGCTGCTGGTCTCTTGCGCTGGCCCTGTGTCTCCGTCACCAGTGGCTGTGCGGTGGCCCAGAGCTGGTGGCCAGGCAAACCCCTGTACTCGCATCCAGAAATACATGCTCATAGTATGCTCAAGGGAACATTCCCAAAGCTCGTTTCCAGAGAGTAAAATGCTTGAATGGAATGACACACCCACTGCTCACAGTAATCCTCTGACTTGGAGATATAGCAGCTTCAGGTTTCATTTGCATAGGCAGTGAAGTAATACTCCATAGCAGACTTACTGTAGGCTGAGTAAGTTTACTACTGTAGGTGTTACAAAATATTCCACATTGTGTTTTCAATGTCACTGATTAAATTGTACCATTATTTTAATGTCTTATTTGACAAAACTTAGTCTTTGATAAAGTGAGCAGAGTTTGCTTGGCCCTCTGGCAGGAAGTAGACACCAAAGGAATGTATCAGTTTGTCAGTCCAGAATTTTTCATAGGAAGGTGGTAGAAATGTTTTCCAAATTGCCCGTCTATAAACAGACGCTCTACTTTCTTGGAAGTTTTACCCTAATGGTAAGCACGTACTCTCTACATGAAAAGGACAGAGACTTAGGTCTTGTGACACTAGACTGAAGCGGAGCTTTATAACAAAGCTGAATGAGTAACTGTTGCGGTTTTTCATCTGGGGAGAATTGATTGATTGATTCATCTATTTTTGTATTTTTACAAGCCATCTATGTATTCCTTAATTACTTCAACCTTCACTGTTATTAAACAGCTGGTATCTTATTATAGGCTCAATTTGTGCCATTTAGTCTAGGCTAGTAGGTATGTTTTATAGAAAAGGACAACTCAGAACATCTTAAGGGTTATAGCCGAAGCAGTTAAAATAGAGTCGAAACCGATGTTCCCGTCTCTCTCCGACTTCCCTTCGCTGCGTCTCTGCATGCTGCTGCTGGCTCGCAGGGTCGCGCCTGTCCGCATGGGTGCTGAAACGCTAGCGTTTTGCTTTCTGAGAAATAAAAGGTAAAGCATCGCTTTGAACAAGTAACATGCTCATAATTACATGGACTCTGCAAACTCAAGATCTGTGAGCCAGAATGGCAGCAGTGGAAGTAGGCCCCCACCAGCCAGCTCCCCAAATGTGCAGTTCTTCACATGTGTGAGCTGGCGTTTCCCGAGTGGCCTCAGCACACAGGCCCTGATCGCCGACTCGGCCTGCATTAGTGGCTTTGCCGCGGCCTTGTCAGCTGAACGCCTCTGGTTGGAAAGGGCTGGGTTCGCCGAGCGCTTTGTCCTCAGCCTCGCTCAGAGAGCTTGACCTGCTCCACCCCTCTAGGTACCTTTCACTTTCAGAACACGCTGGGTCATTTTCCTACTTGGAAGCCAAAGTCATTCAGTAACTAGGGGGAAACGTCTCAAAGCAGCAGTTCCACGTTAAACAGCTTCTCTCGGGCTGTGGTTCCTGCAGGCATCATTCTCAGCGCTGCTCTGGGGGGACGTGAATGACTGGATGGCACATCTCACGCGGCACCAGCGAAACACCTGCTTTTCTCCAGACGTGTTTCTATGGCTCTCGAGTTTTCCTAAGCAGATAACTAGCTCACCCACGGTAGAAACGTTTTTTTTTCCAGTTATCTGCAAACGTCCATGTAATTGACCCCTCACTGTCCCTCCTAACCATGTAACTTCCACTGACTGTTCTCACAGCAAAACGTTCCTATTTGTTACAAGTATTTGGGTGTGAGGGTAAGTCCTTATCCTGGATTGGAGTGAAGTTTACTTCTGTTAGCGCCTCAGTATGCTTGTGGGCAGAGGGATTAGTTGTTCCTTGCTCTGTATCACTGGTGAAGATACTTTCTCTTCTTGAAATTGTAAGGAAAGGTTAACATCTCACCGAAAATCAGTTTCTCTTTGGCTGAAGAAATTTCCTTTCTCGGTTGCCCGTAGAACCCACGGCCTCAGGAAAGCCGGGCAGTGTTCAGCGGCTCCGTCAGCATCCCGTCCATGACCAAGGCCCGGCCTGAGCCCGGCCGCTCCATGAGCGCGAGCAGCGGCCTCTCCGCGCGTAAGTAGCGCCTGCTTGGCTGGTGGCGCCACCGCCCCCGCACCCCGCGGGCTGACCGCCGCCCGCTGCTCCCTCGCCGGTGCTCAGGGCGCCCCGGCCTGGCCTGCGTGACCAGGACCTGGGGGCCGTTCTCCTGGGCACCGCGCCCGCATATGAGTCACGGGGCTCCTTCAGAGCCGACGGCCTGTGCGGCTCCCAGACATAAGGCAGCAAGGTGTGATGATAAATGCTCTGCAGGAAAACACAGCGCACAGAAAGAGAGAATAGCAGGGGACAGGGGAATTCAGTCAGAATGACCGGGAACGTCCCGCGCGGTCCCTGGCGGAGCTGCGTTGAGGGAAGAGGCTGTGTGGTTCCCGGCTGTGACCAGGGGCCCCGAGAGGCAGGCAAGGGTCAGGTGGATTTGATCACTTACGTTGGTAAGTGTAATAAACAATTGTGTCACTTAAATTATTTTCAGATAGTTATTAACGACAGCACGAAGCCGCCAGAGTCCTCACTAGGGAACGGGGTGCCGGCCCTTCCGCCCGGTGCCCACCTACCCGGCTGCGGGGGAGGCGGAGTGGCTCGGTTCGCTCCGAGACCCCCGGACATGGCGCCCTAAAGTCACTTCTAACCGTGTGTAGCTCTGACTTTGAGAAGTGTCTGCAGAGGGGAAAACAGCATCCATTTTATGAGTGACCTTTATGGAAATGGCGAGAGGTTATGATCATGAATTGCAATGATAACTCACATGTGTTTTCAAGATTTGCGTTTGCAAGGCAATGGCCATAAGCAGTCATCCGAAACCCTGCAGCCAGAATTCAGTTTTAAATATATATATTAGAAGTGATTTTACCATAGATCCTGTCATCGTCCCTAAGGTGTGGGGCAGACCTGCGCACCACGAATATCTATGCAGCAAAACGTGGGACCAGCCACAGCATAAGTCTGTAAATGAATGGAGACCGTATTTCAAATAATCAGCCGCTCACTCGTTCAGATTAGGTTTTGCCACCACATGAATTCACATCAAAATTGTGGGTAAAAAAATGACGTTTTCAGGGCTTTTGGCGTCTGTGACGCAGAGACCCGAGGCCCACGTCAGTCACGTCCCTCAGGCCCGCAGTGGCGCGTCTCGGCCGCAGTCTGGACTCAGCGCCCAGCTGCTGTCGGGGCCCTGACG